TTTTCAAATCTAAAAAATTTAAAAGTAAATGATAAAAGAAGTAGGATAAACTTTTTATTATAAAATTTTCAAATCTAAAAAATTTAAAAGTAAATGATAAAAGAAGTAGGATAAACTTTTTATTATAAAATTTTCAAATCTAAAAAATTTAAAAGTAAATGATAAAAGAAGTAGGATAAACTTTTTGTTATAAAATTTTCAAATCTAAAAAATTTAAAAGTAAATGATAAAAGAAGTAGGATAAACTTTTTGTTATAAAATTTTCAAATCTAAAAAATTTAAAAGTAAATGATAAAAGAAGAAGGATAAACTTTTTGTTATAAAATTTTCAAATCTAAAAAATTTAAAAGTAAATGATAAAAGAAGTAGGATAAACTTTTTGTTATAAAATTTTCAAATCTAAAAAATTTAAAAGTAAATGATAAAAGAAGTATGATAAATTTTCGTTATAAACATTTCAAATCTAAAAAATTTAAAAGTAAATGATAAAAAAAGTAGGATAAACTTTTTGTTATAAACATTTCAAGTCTAAAACTATTTAAAGTAAATGATAAAAGAAATAAAATTAACTTTTTATTATAAAATTTTCAAGTCTAAAACTTTTTAAAGTAAATGATAAAATAAGTAGGATAAATTTTTTATTATAAAATTTTCAAATCTAAAAAATTTAAAAGTAAATGATAAAATAAGTAGGATAAATTTTTTATTATAAAATTTTCAAATCTAAAAAATTTAAAAGTAAATGATAAAAGAAGTAGGATAAACTTTTTGTTATAAAATTTTCAAATCTAAAAAATTTAAAAGTAAATGATAAAAGAAGAAGGATAAACTTTTTGTTATAAAATTTTCAAATCTAAAAAATTTAAAAGTAAATGATAAAAGAAGTAGGATAAACTTTTTATTATAAAATTTTCAAATCTAAAAAATTTAAAAGTAAATGATAAAAGAAGTAGGATAAACTTTTTGTTATAAACATTTCAAATCTAATAAATTTAAAAGTAAATGATAAAAGAAGTAGGATAAACTTTTTGTTATAAAATTTTCAAATCTAAAAAATTTAAAAGTAAATGATAAAAGAAGTATGATAAATTTTCGTTATAAACATTTCAAATCTAAAAAATTTAAAAGTAAATGATAAAAAAAGTATGATAAACTTTTTGTTATAAACATTTCAAGTCTAAAACTATTTAAAGTAAATGATAAAAGAAATAAAATTAACTTTTTATTATAAAATTTTCAAGTCTAAAACTTTTTAAAGTAAATGATAAAATAAGTAGGATAAATTTTTTATTATAAAATTTTCAAATCTAAAAAATTTAAAAGTAAATGATAAAAGAAGTAGGATAAACTTTTTATTATAAAATTTTCAAATCTAAAAAATTTAAAAGTAAATGATAAAAGAAGTAGGATAAACTTTTTATTATAAAATTTTCAAATCTAAAAAATTTAAAAGTAAATGATAAAAGAAGTATGATAAATTTTCGTTATAAACATTTCAAATCTAAAAAATTTAAAAGTAAATGATAAAAAAAGTAGGATAAATTTTTTGTTATAAACATTTCAAGTCTAAAACTATTTAAAGTAAATGATAAAAGAAATAAAATTAACTTTTTATTATAAAATTTTCAAGTCTAAAACTTTTTAAAGTAAATGATAAAATAAGTAGGATAAATTTTTTATTATAAAATTTTCAAATCTAAAAAATTTAAAAGTAAATGATAAAATAAGTAGGATAAACTTTTTGTTATAAAATTTTCAAATCTAAAAAATTTAAAAGTAAATGATAAAAGAAGTAGGATAAACTTTTCGTTATAAACATTTCAAATCTAAAAAATTTAAAAGTAAATGATAAAAAAAGTAGGATAAACTTTTTGTTATAAACATTTCAAGTCTAAAACTATTTAAAGTAAATGATAAAAGAAATAAAATTAACTTTTTATTATAAAATTTTCAAGTCTAAAACTTTTTAAAGTAAATGATAAAATAAGTAGGATAAATTTTTTATTATAAAATTTTCAAATCTAAAAAATTTAAAAGTAAATGATAAAAGAAGTAGGATAAACTTTTTATTATAAAATTTTCAAATCTAAAAAATTTAAAAGTAAATGATAAAAGAAGTAGGATAAACTTTTTATTATAAAATTTTCAAATCTAAAAAATTTAAAAGTAAATGATAAAAGAAGTATGATAAACTTTTTATTATAAAATTTTCAAATCTAAAAAATTTAAAAGTAAATGATAAAAGAAGTAGGATAAACTTTTTGTTATAAAATTTTCAAATCTAAAAAATTTAAAAGTAAATGATAAAAGAAGTAGGATAAACTTTTTATTATAAAATTTTCAAATCTAAAAAATTTAAAAGTAAATGATAAAAGAAGTAGGATAAACTTTTTGTTATAAAATTTTCAAATCTAAAAAATTTAAAAGTAAATGATAAAAGAAGTAGGATAAACTTTTTGTTATAAAATTTTCAAATCTAAAAAATTTAAAAGTAAATGATAAAAGAAGTAGGATAAACTTTTTGTTATAAAATTTTCAAATCTAAAAAATTTAAAAGTAAATGATAAAAGAAGTAGGATAAACTTTTTGTTATAAAATTTTCAAATCTAAAAAATTTAAAAGTAAATGATAAAAGAAGTAGGATAAACTTTTTGTTATAAAATTTTCAAATCTAAAAAATTTAAAAGTAAATGATAAAAGAAGTAGGATAAACTTTTTGTTATAAAATTTTCAAATCTAAAAAATTTAAAAGTAAATGATAAAAGAAGTAGGATAAACTTTTTGTTATAAAATTTTCAAATCTAAAAAATTTAAAAGTAAATGATAAAAGAAGTAGGATAAACTTTTTGTTATAAAATTTTCAAATCTAAAAAATTTAAAAGTAAATGATAAAAGAAGTAGGATAAACTTTTTGTTATAAAATTTTCAAATCTAAAAAATTTAAAAGTAAATGATAAAAGAAGTAGGATAAACTTTTTGTTATAAAATTTTCAAATCTAAAAAATTTAAAAGTAAATGATAAAAGAAGTAGGATAAACTTTTTGTTATAAAATTTTCAAATCTAAAAAATTTAAAAGTAAATGATAAAAGAAGTAGGATAAACTTTTTGTTATAAAATTTTCAAATCTAAAAAATTTAAAAGTAAATGATAAAAGAAGTAGGATAAACTTTTTGTTATAAAATTTTCAAATCTAAAAAATTTAAAAGTAAATGATAAAAGAAGTAGGATAAACTTTTTGTTATAAAATTTTCAAATCTAAAAAATTTAAAAGTAAATGATAAAAGAAGTAGGATAAACTTTTTGTTATAAAATTTTCAAATCTAAAAAATTTAAAAGTAAATGATAAAAGAAGTAGGATAAACTTTTTGTTATAAAATTTTCAAATCTAAAAAATTTAAAAGTAAATGATAAAAGAAGTAGGATAAACTTTTTGTTATAAAATTTTCAAATCTAAAAAATTTAAAAGTAAATGATAAAAGAAGTAGGATAAACTTTTTGTTATAAAATTTTCAAATCTAAAAAATTTAAAAGTAAATGATAAAAGAAGTAGGATAAACTTTTTGTTATAAAATTTTCAAATCTAAAAAATTTAAAAGTAAATGATAAAAGAAGTAGGATAAACTTTTTGTTATAAAATTTTCAAATCTAAAAAATTTAAAAGTAAATGATAAAAGAAGTAGGATAAACTTTTTGTTATAAAATTTTCAAATCTAAAAAATTTAAAAGTAAATGATAAAAGAAGTAGGATAAACTTTTTGTTATAAAATTTTCAAATCTAAAAAATTTAAAAGTAAATGATAAAAGAAGTAGGATAAACTTTTTGTTATAAAATTTTCAAATCTAAAAAATTTAAAAGTAAATGATAAAAGAAGTAGGATAAACTTTTTGTTATAAAATTTTCAAATCTAAAAAATTTAAAAGTAAATGATAAAAGAAGTAGGATAAACTTTTTGTTATAAAATTTTCAAATCTAAAAAATTTAAAAGTAAATGATAAAAGAAGTAGGATAAACTTTTTGTTATAAAATTTTCAAATCTAAAAAATTTAAAAGTAAATGATAAAAGAAGTAGGATAAACTTTTTGTTATAAAATTTTCAAATCTAAAAAATTTAAAAGTAAATGATAAAAGAAGTAGGATAAACTTTTTGTTATAAAATTTTCAAATCTAAAAAATTTAAAAGTAAATGATAAAAGAAGTAGGATAAACTTTTTGTTATAAAATTTTCAAATCTAAAAAATTTAAAAGTAAATGATAAAAGAAGTAGGATAAACTTTTTATTATAATATTGTGTTCAAATTACCGATATTTTGCAACAGTTGATAGACATTACCCGAGCGACAGACGGCGGCTGTAATGTTGTTGTTGTAGTACTCGTTTGCTATCAATTTGTGGTCACTTTTACAACAGACAAACCACTTATAAGTCCAAACTCTCTCAAAACTATCGCTAATACCAATCGATAGTTGTTTTTGTATTTCAAAAACCGATTGAATGCATTGATTAAACTGTTTGGATATCACCTGATATTTAATTAGGTCTTAAATGTCGATTTACGACAAGATTTCCATCAGTATGTAGTCGTTTGTTACACGACTACACTTCAGCTCATCGGTTGGCTGTGTATTGAGGAGTCGGGTATCACTCTTTGCACTGACTAATTGACATTTACTGTCCATATTTTGCTACTGATCTTTACTTATAGTATCGAAAACGTTATAATAATTATTAATAAAATCTAAAATCTACATTTATTATATACAATATGTATAAAATTAGATTTTATTTCAAAATGTTTATAATTTAAAACTTTAATACAGAAAATATTAAGCAATAGCTATATTAGAATTTATGTTTAAGGCATTAGAAAATTATATATCAACTGTTAAATACAATAAACCAATAAATACTTTAATAAATTAGGATTTATAATACATTTAATTCAAAACAATAATACAATATATAAACGACAAGATATTATTTAATGGATAATAATTTAAATTATTTGATATGTATGGTTGAACCGGTTGTCGAGTCGATTGTATTAATGGTACCTAAAGTGGTAAATGAAGGCATTTTAGAGATATCTCCCGATCGTATTGAAGCATTCAATGTCTTGTTTGAATTATCCGATTTTCCTAATTGTTTTAAATAAATTTATATTAAAATATCAATTATCAATATTATTAAATACAATGTTTTTGATTTGTGTCATACTTTTGATCACATAATACACACTAAAGACACACAACGCAGAAATAATAAGTATTATTATAAAAATTAATACAACAAATATCGGAAGTCCATAACTATTGTCAAAAATAGACGATTCGCTCATCGATTCCGTCGATTCTAAAGATTGTGTACTATTTGTTGTCGGGTTTGTCGTGTTGTTAGATGTAATCACTTCAGGAATTTTTGTAATTGTTGTCTCAGTTTCGGCGGTAATTGTAGTCAATGTCTGTGTAATTGGTGTTTCGGTTTCAGTTATTGTTGTCATTTCAGTAGTGGATGTAGTTTCAGATTCAGTCATTTCAGATGTTGTTTGTATTGTCGACGGAGTGGTTGTCATTGATGTCGATGAAGTGGTTGTTATTGTTGTCGACGGAGTTTCAGTGGTTGTAATAGTAGTAGTAGTAATGTCTGATTTATGACAATCAACCAAATATTGGATATTATTTTCATCGCACTGTGTTGTAGTGGATAACAAATAATTTAATTAATTAATAATAATAATTATAGGCTAACCTCCTGTTCAGTCATATTGGTTTTAGTGACACAATATTTAGGTCCGTACGGGTCATCAAATATAACCAAAAATTTTTGGAAGTGATATATTGAAAGAATTACATCCAAATGTAATCTTGGATTTAGTTTTGCAATAAAAATGGGAATTTGATAATATGATGGATCGACTTCAATAAACTCATTTGAATAGGTATTCCACGAGTATATCTTTGCCTGTCTATTGTAACCGTTTCCAGAATCGGTAGACATTATCATTATAGGCATCAGTTTTTCCAGAGAACTGAAAGCCACAGTCGGTGTAAAATCGGAACCTTTCCATTGGTTTCTTAATTCACTGAAATCATTGCTTCCCAATTGATTTATTACAATATACTCCAAGTCTTTCTATTTGTTTTGTATAATAAATTTATTTATAATAATAAAATAATAATAATCTATACTATAAATGGATTACTTTATAAAATGCTCTCCAAATTCCTTTATTTCCGAAATCAAATAAAAAATTTACATCAAATTTGTGCTTAAAGTCATTGATATGATAATGTTGTCCAATGAATGCATTGCCATTAATCCTATCATAATATATAGGCCACGAATAGTTTCCAATAACCACTTCTCTAAACTCATCCGTTGGTCTCCTGAAGGTATCATCCAATGCAAAGTCAAATGAGTTATAATTATTAATGTATTTCTCGCAGAAGTCATCGTTATTGTGGTCGTCATTGAACACAACTTTTATCAAACCTATTATAATAACTATTGAAATTGAATGAAAAATATTAAAATCAATATTAATTAATATAATTAAACATTAAATTATGAAATGTATACCTAAAAAGTTGAAATACATTTTATTTTGATCTCAACAAAATTCAAATTTATAATAATAAAACAAATAATTGATTACTTTTAAAAACTATTTGATTTATAATATAAACTACAGTATTATTGAAACATTGTTTATTTGATGCGTTATAAATAATCAATTTTAATAAAATATAAATAATTATACTATAAGATTTATATAAATATTGAATAAATAATAAATTATATCGTAATTGTTGGCATGAATTTAGAATAATAAAAATTAATTTAATTTAAATCTAATATAATTTTAGAAACCGTTAAAACAATTATTACATAGTATTTACACAATATTTATATAATACTGAAATAATACAATAATTAATTAATTGATCTATAAATAGGTTATAAAATAGTTAAACTGTTCTTTATATTGTTGTTTCGCTATTAAATCTATAACTATTTTTTGTAGATAATTATTCTTTAGTTAAATTTATTTAATTATTAATTAACTTTTTTAATTAATTAATTAATAAAATGTTTTTAACGACAAGTGATGGATTAAAACAATTATAATTTATTATTCATTTAGTTTTAATACAAATTCAATTGCAGACAAAATAAATATATTGTTAGTGTTTGTTATCTTCAATCATCAGAGAAAGTGATCGCAATGACAGTGTCCGACACCGTTGGACGGCTCTACACGAAGACCACGAGTTTGCCTAACAAATCAATATAATTAGAGAGAGAGAGAGAGAGAGAGAGCAATCATAATGGCATTCATCTTATATCTGAAGATAAGACTCACATAAGACAGTGTTGTCTATTGAATCGTCTGTTGGCTGTAAACGCGTTCTTCATTTCCCGCGAACTCCATAGCCGTTCGGCGACTGCCAGTCCACGGGGCCTATCGGGTGATATAGAAAATGTTAGTCTATGGTTAGTCTAAAATAATTATAATAATAATAATAATATGACAGTACATACCACGTGCGACCAATCAAGTTGGATCCGTCTACCCATTCACCTGCAAAAATACCAACAAATTAGAGCTAATATCACGAGATAAAGACAATTCAAACCCCAAATGGTTGCCTCCCCTCCGATAATCAAATTATTTTGTTGTTCAGTACCCTTGAAACTGAACGGTTCGCACGTATAATACTTGTGCCAATCGGTTCCGTATGAGATCCTATTCAAGTACCAACACGAAGACAGTATAACCTGATAACCAGCTTTGGTAACATTGAAGAGCTCGCTCTGCCAGTTGTCGTACTTCCACACATGTATGACAGTGTCGGGCAATAGTTTTGCTTTATTGTCGAATATCTCCTGCCAGACAATGGATGATCTGTTGAATGATCTGATGATATCAATCACTTTTTTGATGTAATGTTCCTCTAGTTTGGCAAACTCTATATCCGACTTCTTACTGATGGCAGCAGTCTTTTTAATAATACTTTTGGCTCTCATATAATCAATGATATTAGGATTAGATCGCCAACAGTTATAATCCACTTCATCGCCGCCTATATGTATGTATTGGTCGGGAAAGATGTCAAGAATTTCTTTGAATAGTTTTTCAATGAAATCATATGTTGATTGTTTGCTTGGATCTAATGGTCCATAATTACCATTTGGTTTACCATTTGTATAGCATTGTGTCATTAACTCTGGGTATGCCTTACCCCAGGCCATAGTATGGCCCGGAGTATCCAATTCTATCAAAACTCTTATTCCTCTCTCTTTTGCATAATTAATGACACGATTGATATCTTCAATGGTATAGATGTGTGTCTTTGAATTATAGGCCCCTTTGAGACTTAATTTAGGATAGACTTGACTGACGTACGGAATTGACTGGTCATCAGTCATATGCCAGTGAAAGACATTCAATTTATTATAAGCCATAGCATCTAGACTTTGCTCTAATCGTTGGACAGATATATAGTGTCGAGCAGTGTCTATAAGTAGTCCTCTATATTTGAAACGAGGAAAGTCGTTAATCGATGTATAGTTAACAATAAACTGATTGTATCCGACATTTTCAATCAATTGAGACATTGTTTCCAATGCCCGTATGGCACCCCAAACACTCTCCGAGTAGATAAGTGTCATCCTATCATTGATATCTATTGAATAGTTTTCAATCATATCGATGTCCGGTTCAGTTTCGCACTCCTGACTGACCAAAATCGTAATGTTTGTCAAAATGCCCTTAAAATTGATATTTTTTGTCAAATTATTTGCCGATTTTTCATCGAAAAATTTTTCTGTTCCGTTCGGGTCGACCAGTGAACAGTCGTCTATGAAAAACAATTTCTTATATCTGGCAATAGCTTTGTCTAATAGATCACAGTCACCAATAATTGTCGATACAAAGTGAAAGTTGTTTGGATCTATTATGAAGAATGTTTCGTTTATGATCATCGACTGCGGGAACGGCCATATGTTGTCACCCACTGAAAAATTTTGCTGAAAATATATGACAAAATATATATTTAGTAAAATAGATAAGTATAGCTATTAAAATAAATATTTTTTTAAATAATAATAATTGTCCCAACATTTTGATGTACAACTTTAGCTGATCTACTTTTAAGACCCAATCCATAGTCACAAATAATTGAAGACAAATATATTGATATAACAAATATTATTAATAATTTATTCATAGTTTTTAGAATTTAAAAAAACAAAAAATTCAATGAAAATTTTTATCTGAAATTTTGTTGAAATCAATTTTTTAGATAACATTAAAAATTAAGTTATTTAAGATTTAATTAAAAAAATCATTAGGTATTATATTTTTTCATATTTTTTTTCTAACCACCCGTATCTCTAATTTATTATATAATAATTATATTATAATTTTTAAACCAACATATAATTGACAATAAAAATATATTAGTAAACTGCATAAATCAGTATTAGTGACTGATTTTATCACATCAACAAAAAATTGTGTTTTCAAAAACTTTTATTTTTATATTAAATATATATTGTGGATACCCGGGTGGCTAATAATAGCAGTTTACATAACAATAACATTAAGTGAACAAAAAAAATTAATTATTTATTAAAAATTACTTAAATAATTAATACTAATCTAATTTAGATGTGTTTACTTTACAAATCGTAACAAAATTGTATTTTTTAAAAACAATAGTTTGAACAATAAAATAATGTAAAATTTATAATTAGTTTTAATTTAAGCAATTCAATAATTATAATAATAAATCACACATTTTTTTAGTAATAATAATTTATAACAAAACGTGATATTTTCATATAAACTAAGAGTTAAATAATTTTATACTTAAAACAAATAGTTATTGATTATGTCAATATAAAAAAAGTTCAAATATTTATAAAATAAAATAAATAATTTATTTTATTCACTTAAAAGACAGATACTAATATAAAAACTATAAATATATAACATAACAAACCATCTTAACTTTCACTACATCCTAATATTACTCCACCCCATCATCACTTCCTAACCTCAAAGCCATATAATATCCAATTAGATTTATTAGATTTTTAAAATTTAATTTTTTTTATAATAGTATATAGATTTTTAAACTATAGATATTTAGTTTTCAAAAAAAAAATTAATTAATTCAAATAAATTTATAACATAATATACTTTTATGTATAGTTATGAATATAAAAAACCAAATATATCACTATTGATAATAATATTATTGGGCGTAATCGCAGCGACAAAATCCAGGACCGGTTGTGGCGTCTACTCTTATACCACGTATTTGCCTAAAAATTAAAACATATTTTTTTATTTTGTTTGTAGTTTTTATATACAGGAAATGATATGTTAAATGATAGGATAAGTTATACAAACATTAAACAATTTTGTCGATTATATCTAAAATCAGTTGATTTAGAGTATTGTATTTTTTTTGAACTCCAAAGCCTTTCGGCAACACTGCTAGATCTGGGCCTAAGTTTTCACAAATAAATACCAATTTTTTTAAATACATTAAATAAATAATAAATTAACCATATTTTCTAACTATAAAAATCCATACATACCATGCAATTGGTATAAAACTGGCTGAATCTAAATATTCACCTATTATAAGAAAACATATTCATTAAGTTTATTATAAATATAAATAAACTAATAGTAATTACTCCAAAATACGACTTCTCCTCCAATAACTAGACTTTTTTGATGATCTGTTCCTTCAAACTCTTGCGGATCAGCTAAATGATAATTTTTCCATTGGTTTCCATAGTCGATAACATTAAGATACCATGGTGATGACAGGATGACAGTGTAGCCCTGTTTGGTGATGTCTGCCATTACTTTTTGCCATTTGACGTGATGGTCGTCTTCGTTATACCAAAGATGAACAATTGCATCGGTAGCCAAATGGACGCCATTGTCTAAGACATCATTCCATACAATATAACTGTTGTTCAATGTCTTTGCTATATTGAATAGTCTGTTGAGATAATACTCTTGAAGTTTTGTATAATCATTTCCATAATCTTTTGCTTTCATGAAGGCTTTGATGTCTGGATTAGATCGCCAACAGTCATAATCCACTTCATCGGCGTCTAAATGCAAGTACTTATCGGGAAATAGACCGACAACTTCAGTAAAAAATTTAACAAGAAAATTGTATGTCGAATCCTTGGACGGATCTATTGGTCCAAAGCGACCATTTGGATCACTACCGTCATAGCAAGTAGTCAGCAAACCTGACTGTCCTCTACCCCACGATAAGGTATGTCCCGGAGTGTCAAACTCAACCAATACTCTTATACCTCTTTGGGTGGCATATTTGACGACAGTCCGTATGTCATCGGGTGTATAGACAAGATTTTTCGGATCGTAGGCTCCTTTACTACTTAATTTAGGAAATGATTGACTAACATATGGAAAGGACTGGTCGTCGACAATATGCCAGTGAAAAACATTTAGTTTATTATAAGCCATTGCATCCAAATTTTTAAGTAAATTTTGAACTGATATAAAATGTCTGGAAGTGTCTAACGCAAGACCTCTGTGTTTAAAACGCGGATAGTCTTGAATTTCGGTGATATTAACAATAAACTGATTTTGTCCCACATTTACAATCAGTTGCGACAATGTTTCCAACGCTCGTATGGCTCCCCAGATATTGGGAGCTGTTATGACATTATTATGTGAACCTATTGTTAACTTATACGATTCATCCATTTCAATATGAGGAATGGTATCACATTTTTGAGTTACTTTAATAATAATCTCTGTTATGTCTCCCCTATAACCGGGAAGTGTTGCCAAATTTATTTTGCTATCAAATAATGTTTTATTACCTGATATACCAACTCGTAGACAATCTTCAATAAATATCAATTGTTTATATCTATCAATTGCCGGTTGCAATAAACCGCAATTGCCAGTAGTTTGCGCATTAAAGTTAACATTTTTATCAATTGTAAAAAATGATTTTTCAATTACTATGTTTTGTGGATACGGCCAAATGTTTGCCTGAAATTATATGGATTAATTAATTATTTATTTAATTATTATTATATGATTTGTAGTTTAAAATATTTTAATTTATCAATAATGTTATTAAATTTATTTTTTTAAATAAATATTTACTTACATTTTGGCAAACATAGACTTGTATAAACAAAGTCAACCGTATAAACTTAAATATAAAATGTGTCATTTTAATTAATTAAGTGATAGAAAAAGTTTATAATTAGTTTGATTTCTAAAACACTATTAAATTGACTACAAAATGTGCAAAAATCAGCTAAATATAAGGTATACCGTATATTATATACTCTTAGTGTATATACAGTACTTTCAGTAAATTGGGTACCAAAAAAATAATAGCTAAATAAGCAATTAGCAATTGAAGTACATTTTAATCCATAATGATAAACATTAAAATGTTAAAATACTATTTGAATATAAATTAAATATCTTATTATAATAGAAAATAATATCTAATCTATTCTGACTAATTTTATTACAATAATTTAAACATTAATATTGATATTTTTTTCGCATAATCATGTATCAGTTTTTTTTGTTTGTTAGAAACTTTGCTATATTGTGAAATATTTTATTATTACTAATCATATTAAACTTGACAAACATTATTAACAATTTTTTTTTAAATTTTCATTTTTATTATTAATAATGTTTCAAAGTTGTTAATAATAATAACTTAAATAATAATATTATTATTAATTAAATAATTATAATGTTATACATTCTGCAATGTTGTCGATCATATCGTGGAGAAGCGGTCATAGGATTATTCAATAGCCTAGAACTCCACAATCTCTTAGCTATGGCTATACCTCGAGGCCTATAATCAAATGTTAAAAAAACATTCATTAATTATATAATACATTGAAGTTTATAATAAAATTATTTCAAACATACTATTGATATAACATTTGTAAAAAATTCACCTAAATATTTATTTATAAATTTGATGTTTTGTTTAATTAGTTTGTAAAATTAGTTTAATTTTATTATAAACTTTATCGCACAGTTACTTACTCCACAAGCAGGTCTCCCCTCCAATAACTAAACTTTTTTTTTGTTTATCAGTACCGGCAAAATCGTACGGATCATTGGCATATAAATGGTGCCAATGGTTCTCATAGACAATAATATTGAAATACCAACGAGAGGATAGTATTACTTTACTAGTTATAGCAGACATATATGTTGGCCATTGGATCCGTTAATCATTCGACAATGGTGTCCGGGTCTACATTGAATCCATTGTCAAACACTTCTTGCCAAACAATAGGAATCTTATTAAGACTTTTAGCAATATCTATAACCCGTTTAATGTAATATTCTTCAAGTTTATTGAATTGATTTGTTATATCCATAAATGCCAATATCTGTGGATTAGTGGTCCAACATCTGCTGTGGACATCATCGCCGCCCAAATGCAAGTACTTATTGAAAAATCTATGACTAACTTCTCGTAGTAATTGCTCCAAGAATTTGTACGACGAGTTCTTTGACGGACCTACCGGACCGAATGTGTCAGTAGTTTGGTTACCATTGAAACATTGGGACAACAATTCCGGCTGACTTTTACCCCAGGATAAGGTATGTCCCGGAGTGTCAAACTCGGGTAATACTCTTATTGTTCTTTCATTGGTGTATTCAATAATATTTTGCATTTCATTAATAGTATAAATATGTGTTTAATTATTGATGGCTCCCTTAAGTGACAAATTAGGAAATGTTTTGCTTTCATAAGGGAATGACTGATCGTCAACAATATGTCAGTCAAAATACATTTAGTTTATTGTAATCCATGGCATCCAAAAAGTTTTTGATCACTTCGACTGAAATAAAATGTCGGTATGTGTTCAACATTAAGCCTCTGTGTTTGAATCGGGGATAGTCTTTAACTTGTATTACATTAACAATGAATTAATTGAAACCTATATTTATTATCAATTGCGACAATATTTTCAAAGCATATATATCTACCCAAACATTAGCGGCTTTTACAACACTGTTTTGTCGACTAATATCTAATTCGTAAAATTCATTCATTTCTAAATGCGATTGAGTTTCGCAGTCTTGTAGTACACGAAGTGTGATGTTCTCGATATTCCCGACCAAACCGAGAATTTCCGACAAATTTTGTTTGCTTTTAAACAATGTTTTATTATTGCCTTTACTGCTAACCCGAGAGCAGTCCTCAATAAACATGAGTGCATTGTATCGATCGATGACTTTCTGTAACAAAACACAATCGCCTTTTGTTTGAGTTATGAATTTAACATTTTTTGGATCTATTGTTAGATAAGATTTTTCTATACATATTGACTGTGGATATGGCCATACATTTGCTATATTATTGTTATTATTGCAAATGCACTGCTAAATCAAACGTAGATAAATAAAATAAAATATTAAGTTAATTAAAATTATGAAAATTTAATATTATTGATGATTTTTAATTTAAATAAATATTAATTACTTAACACTAATGATTTACTTTGTTAGTTATTTCAATAGTAGATATATATAAAATAAAAAAAAATATAGTCAATAATTTCATTGTTTATTGTGTTTATGTAAATATGAAAATAATTAATTAATTAATTTTTTAAAAATATTTTGAATAGCCTCAAGAAATATTTGATCATATGTCTAAAAAATTCAAATATTTCATAATAATTAATTACAATATTTTTATTTTAATTAAATATTGTGGAAATTTTTCTTTAATTTAATTCAATGTTTTAAACTATATATTTATGATAAATATTAATATACTGTATATTATACAGTGTATAATATAATACACAATACAATATCATGTTTCTATAATTTTTTTAAAAATAACATGATATTAAAATAATTAATTAAACTGTGATGTAAAAGTTTAGATTTTAGACTATTAATTTATATTATTGTTAATTTATCAAAATTTATTTTTTTATATCAAATCTTATTGCTGTTTGACTTATAGAAAATATCATAAACTCTATAATAAAATATTGATAATTTGTATGATTAAAAGTTTTTGTTTTCTCATTATCAATAATGAATTTATAAAAATTGTTAAAAAAATTTAAATATTGTATTATATATGCTTAATAATTAATTTTTATTTATACAAAATAATTAAATTATTGATAATAATTGTTTAATAATTTAAACGGCATAATCGCATTGACAAAATCCGGAACCATTAGCTGGTTGCACACGTAGACCTCTTTGTTGCCTATTTTTGACGATAATAATAGTATTGATAATTACAATATATTTATAAAAAAATAATTGCAAAATAATTACATCAAACAGTGTTGTCGATTAAATCGTGGACTAACTTCAAGCATACCCTTCTTATCTTTAGAACTCCATAACCTTTCGGCCACAGCTATAGCCCGGGGCCTATAAAATGATTCAAATTTTAATATTTAATATAATTTGTATTTTTTTAAATAAATTATAATTTTTTGCTTTTTAATTAATTAAAACTCTATACCAAGTTCTGCTAATAACATTAGTACCATCAACCCATTCACCTAAAGTTTTCAATTATAAATTTTTAATTAATAATTTAATTTACTTAATAATAATAATAATGAAAATAATAATATGAATAAAAAAATGTAATAAACTTACCCCACATACAGGCCTCTCCCCCTATGACTAACTTATTTTGTTGTTCACTGCCACCAAAATTTTGTGGATCACAAGCGTAATAGTTTGGCCAATCGGTACCATAGGATATGTAGTTTAGGTACCAACACGCAGATACTATAGACTGGTATCCAGCTTTGGTAACATTGAACAACTCCTTTTGCCAACTGTCCCCTTTCCATACGTGTACTACAGTGTCTTCTTTTATTTTGACGCCATTATCAAACACCTCCTGCCATACGATATAGCTTTTGTTGAGACCTTTGACAATATCCAACACATTTTGTATATAATATTCTTCAAGTTTAGCAAAATTATTGGTTATATTTCTCGACTTCATAAATGCCAGAATATCGGGATTAGATGCCCAACACGTGAAGTCCACTTCATCGCCGCCTAAATGCAAGTATTGATCCGGAAATCTGGTGATAACTTCTTTGAACAACTTTTCGATGAATTCATAGTTTGCTGATTGGGACGGATCTATTGGACCAAAACTATCCATCGGTCTACCTTTATTATAGCACCGGGCGAGTAGACCAGGTTGACCCTTACCCCACGACTGGGTGTGTCCCGGACTGTCAAACTCGACCAACACTCTAATACCTCTTTCCTTTGCATAGTCAACAATATTTTGGATTTCCTCTTTAGTATAGATATGTGTTTTGGCATTGAATGCTCCCTTAAGACTCAATTCGGGAAATACTTCGCTAACATAAGGAAAGGATTGATCGTCGACTATATGCCAATGAAATACATTAAACTTATTGTAAGCCATGGCATCCAAATTCTGTTGGATTTCTCTAATGGGAACGTAATGTCGAGAGGTGTCTAACATTACACCTCTGAAAGCAAATCTCGGATAATCAGTAATAGCCGTTACATTGACAATAAACTGATGTTTACCAACATTTCTGATCAATTGAGATAATGTTTCCAAAGCACGTATTGCTCCCCAATTTGTTTCGGCAAATATTTTTGTAATTTGTTGGTTAAACTCAATTGAATACATTTCGCTCATATGAAGATACGGTTCCGATTCGCACGGTTGGTGTACTTCTAGTGTCACATTTGTCAGTTTACCTACATTTTTGTTGACATCCAATTTGATGACACCATCGAAAATAGTGTCCACAACAACATCCGAATTGACAAGTGAACAGTCTTCAAGAAAATACAATTTCCGATATCTTTGTATCGCTTTTTCCAAGAGATCACATTTGCCACTGGCCTTCAAGATAATGTTGAACTCATTGGGATCAACTGTCAGATAGTCTTCATCTAACTTGACATGTTGAGGGTATGGCCACAAATTAATATCGTTTCCATTTAGATCCTAAAAAAATTAATTTATTATAAATTAAAAAAATTTATTAAATAAAAATAAATGTTTTTTTCATTCATAGCAACAACGAAAATATTTTAAAAATTTACTTTATAATAATATTAATTAATTTAACTAGTATAATATAAATAATAATTAATTAAAAATTATTATTTCTTAAAAATAATTTACATTTTGTTGACCATATACTTGAAACCAGAAAACTATAAAAATACTTAATAAAAGTTTCATTGTGTGTATTATTGTTTAATAATCAAAGTAAATAAAGTGAATAAAAACAAATTCATAAAAAAATGTTTTCATAAATGATATTAATATTATCTATACATTAAAAATTAAATAATAATATTATTGAACTATTAATCAACCATATTTATCGTTTATATTTGCAAACTGTTGACATTTGAACTAATTATTATTTATTTAAAGATAATATAAATTTATATGATATAAATTAGCGCAATAATTAAATGAAAATTAAGCCATACATAATTATATATTGATATATATTTATATAGAGTATAATCATAATATCACATCATAAGTACAAGTATTATCATTGTAATTGTTTTTTTTGTTCAATAAAAATAAATAATAGATTTGTATAGCTAAAATTGTTTTGTTTTTAAATGTACATGTATCTCTAATAAAAGTTTTATTATAAAACACATTTATACCATATGCACAAGTTGAAAAATTTATAAATATATATTATATAAATTTTATATTATTGTTTAATATTTCAATTAATTATTATTATTATTTAAATTATAGCCAAATAAACTCAAACACAAATTAATAGTTATAAACTGTAGATTATTTTCTTAAAAGGTATAAATAATTAAATTTATTATTAAGTTTTAATTTTGTTATTTATGGTGAATGTTTTATTATTTGTAATTTTTTAAATATCTATTTAATCTATTTAATCTATTTACTTATCATTTTTTATTATTCAAAGTTTAGTTAATCAATAACCATAAAATAAATATTATTTTTAGATTTTAAATATTGAGTAGTAGAATAATATTATATTTAAAAAAATTAATTAATGATATACTGTATATAGTATATTGTTTTTAATGAATTTCATTTAAATATCATATACGATATTTATATAAATATTTAGATATTTTACTACAATTATTTATGATTAAAATTTTTAAATATTTAAATTACTTTTTAAAAAATTTTATAACAATTTTTTATTTTGTTTATAGTATATTTCCAAACGCTTTATTACACTTAAGTTTTATTCTCAGATATATTAAAGTATTTTTATGTTTTTTATCCTTTTTATTGATTGAACCGATTTTGACATTAATTGTCTTTAATGTCATCTTTTTCTTTGATATATTAGTGTTTGAGTTGTGAAGCTCTGGACAGGTGTTCATAGGGATAGACATTAGCATTGATTTTATGTTTTCCCATAAATATTTTAAACACAAAGTATACAAAAATAAATCTAATTTAAAAAGAGTTTTCAGCACTCAATTTACTAAATTTAATTTATTTGACATTTGTTTTTAAATTAACATTTTGTTTTAAAATTATACAAACAATACTATATAATAACGTTAATTTACTTAAAATTTAAAAATTCACTATTATTTTATAATAATATCAATTATTTTCTAAAATTAGCATTTAGTTTGTTTAAAACATTTGACATTTATTTTATTTTCGAGATTCTTATAAAATATTTTTCATATTAAAAAATAATTACCCTTTATTTTATGCTACTTAAGCCACTTTATATATGTATAATATAAAATTATGTATACAGACAGTAGTATAGTTTATTTATAGTAAGTACAGTACAGTAGTATACTATATATTAATACCAGTAAGTATGTAAATTGCTTGTAATGCTTCAAAAAATTTAATTATTTTGAATTACAAATCAAATATTACATATTTTATAACATTTTTTTTTAATACTGAAAACACTTTCAAATATATTTTTTCAAATTTATTCAAAAAGATTGCATTAGTATTATTATTATTATTATTAATCTGCAAAAACCACTTCATTTTACTGAGAAATAAATTATAGTTATTATAAACTATGATAATTATTATCATTAACCAGTTTTTTTTGTTGATAATATTATTTAATAATTCAAAAATAATTATTTCATATTTACATGAGAGTGCTTTCATATTAATTATAATAAAAAAAATTAATACTATCTGTGTTAGTATTATATTATTGTATTGAATATAATTCTCTCTAATATACTCTATATATTTACTGTATATATATATAAGTTTTTTTTTGAGCGCAAACTCTTAAAACCTCAAATGCATGTCTAGTCTCTCACATCACTTGTGTTTAAATGTAATGCAAATACAGTACTGTTTTCCAGTTGCTATCGGTATTGCTTTTAAAGCCAGCATTCAGTTGAATACATAACAAAAATTGCATTGAAATTATGTTATATATATCGATATAAAAAATTCTGTAGAAATCGCAAAATTTATTTTTAATTAATTAAAAAATAATTAAATATTAAACTAAATTTTTAAAGTTGCATTTAAAGTTATAAATATAACAAACAACAACAAAAATACTCAAAATTATAATATTTAATAGTTAAAGTTTCATAAATAATTTTAACTAATATTTAGTATAATAATATTTATAATATTTATTCAATATTCAAACTTTTTTTCTTAATTATTACTATAAAATAATTTATTAAAATAAAATACAATGGATTTGCTTATAAAATTAATAACAATATTTATGTTTATAATTGCAACAAATATGATGACAAACTGTTGGGAAAACAAACCTATGACTGGTTTTCAGGTAAATTTGATGAATAATTACTTTTATAATCTATACATCAATTTATTTGACATACTTTTTTGATAATATGTTTTACTATTTTATATTAAGAGACTCCCAATGTTTTTTTTATAACTACTTCTTAAATAGTCAATAGTTATAATATATAACACTTTTTTGTCTATTGTTGTAATATTGTTGGTGTTGTTATTATATAACACTTATTGGTTAGTAGTATACACTATACAGCCGTATAATATATTGAGTACTTTGATTAATAACATACAAGAAGTGTCAGTAAAAGGTGTCCAAAACATCAATAAACTGTTGTATGGTTTATATCTAATAATATTAAGAAAAAAAACATAAATATATTTAAGTTATTGTATAGTTTATGATATATATATATAATTGATGATCCAAATAGTTTGTTTTGTTATTTATTTACTGCATAATTTTTATTTTAAAAAATAATTATATATATATATTTTTTAAATTATATAATTAAAAAAACTACACTATAATTGTTGAGTTTTAAATAAGTTTGTTGTTATAGACTATTTGAAAAATAATATCCAATAATTTATTTTTATTGAAGTACTGCTGAAAAGAGTCATTTCAAGTATAATATAGATAGCGATTACCTTTTTTTTAAAAAAACAAACAATTTATATCAATAAAAAATCTAATGGTACATGATCAATATTATATATTGCTATTATAAACTTTATTTTGTATATATATTTACTGTATACTCTAATATAGATAATATAATATTATTTATTTAAATGCATCAAAATATTTGTAAAAAATACTAAAATATTCATTTATAACTTTTTTTTCTCTCAAAAATACTCAGAAATATTAATATAAATATTTAATATCTAAAAAGCTTTATTTGTGTTTAGCCTGATTTACGAGTGTGTATGTATTTATACTATGTGTGTGTGTATGAGAGAGAGAGAGAGAGAGAGAGAGAGAGAGAGAGAGATTGCATTATATACTGTAAAAACTATTTTTAGGCAATCCTTTTAAACGCTCGGCTCATATCTTAGTTAACCAAATATATTGGTCAACATTTATCATTGAATTGATGGTATGCCATAATGGGATTTAGGGAATTGCCTTATAGTATATTTCTATATAAGATCATAGGTGTAAAATATAAGTTCATATATAAAAACTATATCTCATAGAGATAGCTAAGATTATAGAAAGTTATGTTTTATGAGCCAAAAAAGCCTAAATTATAAATTATTAATTTAATCAATAATATATAATTTTTTCATATACATTAAGAGGCATAAATATATTTAGTCTATTTATATATAAAATTTTTAAATATAATAATAAATTAATGATTTATGTTTATATAAATTCTAATGGTTTAACCCATTTTTATTTTGTAACATTGATTCCCAAATGACTCATTTATTTATTAAGTAAATTAATCCCAAAAAATTTAAATATATTTATTATTATATATTTAAAATATTTTTATATATATATATATATATATATATAATATAAAATTTTTATACATAAATAATATATTAAATAATAATAATAATAATCTAATTCAGTTACAATACGCTTAAATAAATTATGATTATTTTATTATTTATTTGCTTAAATAAAGCATTATTATACTGTATACAGTAATATACTGTATATAAAAATTATATTGTATCAAATTTATTATCATTCATTATAATTTGATAGTTTGAGTACATAATTATCTGTTATCAATGAGTTTTGATATTATATTACTTTAATATATTATATAAATAATGCTAAAGCTTGTAATATAAAGCATGTTATACAATACATATCATATTTTAAATAAATGATATAAATATTCTATCAATCATTAAAACTATTATTTATTATTATTATTTTGTAATCTATTTAAGATATATATATAATACAGAAAAATGTATTATATATAAGTGTATAATTAAAATTTTAATTTATTAAGTAGATTATCACCAAAAAACAAATCAAATTTAATATTTAACTATTTATATCAAATAAAATGCTTATTGTAATTTTAACTGTTATTATAAAATTGAAAATAGTTTAAATAATATATTTATTAAAATGTATTTATATATATAACGTATTTTTAAAATAAATATAAAAATTTTATATAAAATATATCCTATATATTATGAGATTGAAAAATTGAAAAATATAAGTAAAAATATATTAAATTTTACTCAATTCAAAAATATATTGTATATATTGCTGTTTCGTTCAAAAATTTCTTTAAAATAATTATGTTTGAAAAATGTTGACACTTTTATAAAACGTTATGTTATATCAAATATTATTTCATTTATTTTTTTTAGTTTTACTGCAAAAATAAGGCAAAAAAAGAAAAATTGTAAAGAAATTCAAGTAAAATATATACAGAATATATATATATATAGTATATACTGTAGTTATTATATGTGATATGGTTGTAAAAGAAATAAAATACATATTTTGATAATAAAGTTAAAGATATATATTTTTTGCCACTTTTATTCACTGATAACAAAATTAGACGCAAAATATTATATACTAAGAAAACATTTAAGCAATGGGATAGTAAATACATCAAAATATTGGAATTAAATTTCTATTTTTGTGCCATTTATTGTTATTTAGTTAACTTATATTCAGTTTCATACTTTCTATTTACTCTCTCTCTCTCTCTCTCTCTCTCTCTCTCTCTCTCTCTCTCTCTCTCTCTTTACACTCACAAACATATACATACAGTGATGTCTATATCATATATCCCTTTCCTTTTCTATCAATCCTATTGTCTGTCGACGGAATTGAAGGCAAATTTCCGCAAAAATTTCTTAGCAATTATTCTTTTAGTTTATTTATCTATTGTATATAGTAGTGGTAGTAGTGGTAGTAGTAGTAGTAGTAGTAGTAGTAGTAGTAGTAGTAGTAGTAGTAGTAGTAGTAGTAATGTGGTAATAGCGTAGCAATTGTTATATAGTATATATAATTTATATATATAAATAAAATTCATTAAACAATAAAGAGTTGCTCTTTTTATGTTGAATTTATTATCAATAGATATAAATTAAGACAAAACAAAAAAAGCATAAAGTTTTCAATAATAAAAATTTAATTTAATGAAGAAAATTGTCTTTTATTTTTTCATACTTTTACTTTATGTTTAATCGCCTGTAATTTAAAACTGAATGAGACATACAATTAATGACAAAAAGTTTTTCCCTGTGTGTGAGTCTTATGTTTTATTAAAGCAAAAATGTCACTAAAATTGTCTGCTATTGTGTATTGTATATCACAAGAGTAGATCTCTCTCTCTCTCTCTCTTTTTCTTTCTTTCTCTATGTTTATCACTATTGAAGAGTACATTCAATTCCCTAAAGAAAGTGTATGTTTTGGTAATCAAATTATAATTTTATTTGAAAACAAATACATTTATAAGTTAACTTATAGAAGAAAAGATAAATTTTAAGATAAATTAAAAAGGTTAAGGGATTAATGTTTAGAAAATATAAAGACTATTGATGTAAAAAGTATATAAAGTTTATTGTATATATACTGTAGTTCAGATATATAGTAAAGTATAAATAATAATATTATTTCTAAATATTATGACATTAGGCCAAAGGCATGAGTGCTGAGTTCAAAAAAAAAGTTAAAACTATATAATATTGTCCATTATATTGAAAGTTATATCGCATTATCGATCTATATGTTTGAAATTCATTCAATTTTCTCTCTCTATATATACAGTATATATGTGCCATACATTTGTTGTCTCACAACAACTTTAATGTTAACTTTGAATTGAATTTACTTAACTATACTCACAGTGTCTTAATAGTAGACTAAATAACTGGTGTCTGTTGTCTCTAATGAAGTGTACACTATATATATATATATATATCGGTATATATACTGTAGACAATGGTTAGTGAGGGTTATGGGTATAGCTGGACATACATGAAAGTTATTCACTAAATACTAAGACAGGCACACAAACACACACACATTCATTAGGTTACAGTGCTCTCTCTCTCTCTCTCTCTCTCTCTCTCTCTCTCTCTCTCTCTCTTAATAAAAGTGAATTTAGTAGTAGTTATGTCACGAATATGTGAATTAACTGGTAATCAATGTGGATTGCAAACTTAGTTTAAGCAAAAAAAAAATAATATAACAAAACTTATATATTAAAAGATTTTATTCTATATAAGACATATACAGTAATACAGTTTACTGTATATTAAAATATTTTAATTTCTATAAATATTTATTGAATTAAATCTATAGATACAGTTTTAAAAAACATTTAAAAAATATTCAATAATATTAATAATAAATAATTAATTTTAAAAATATATGTCACTTATAACTATATTATATCTTTTTGAAACACAAGTTTGATGACAATCCTCTTTTACTATAGTAGTACTGTATATCTGGTAAACTAAGTTTAGTTATTAGTATTATTTTATCAATGCAAATAAACATATATTTTTTGTTAGTTAAACTATGTCTTAAATAAAGTGATTACATTTGCTATTAGTGATAAAAAATAGGATAATAATAAATAAGAGACAAAACGTTTTGTACTATTTTTATTGCCAATTATTGACGGATTATTTATCGACCCATATATTGTATTTTGCACACAAAAACCTTATAGCTATGTATGATATCTATTGCATATAATAAACAAAATACACGACAAAAGCTAATTCATTAGCAAAATAGCCGACTATTCCTTGAATATAGAGATTATTGAATGTTATTTTGCTGTGCAATACTGCTATTAGCAATCAAATTGCTGTATAAAAACTATTGCTTATTTGTTATTTAATTATATCTGTAAATCTGTTTTATACAAAATCATTATCATAAAGTCATATTGAAAATTATAGATCAATTTTAGTTATAAATAGTTTTTTAATTTATTAAAATTCTAATCAACTTAAAAGTTATTTTTTAAATTAGATTTAAATACTGTAAACAACGACAAAATACACAAACATAATTGTATAATTTAGTTATTGAAATTAATTTTTTAAAAATTATAAAATTTAATGTCCTACCAAATACAGTAATATAAAAAGATGCTTCTTGGTTATTTAATAATAATTTATTGACCAACTATTTAGTTTGATAATTACTTATTCTGGTAATTAAGTTTTAATAAGAGAGAGAGAGAGAGAGAGAGAGAGAGAGAGAGAGAGAGAGTTAATTTAAACGATAGTTAAATATTTAAGTAAATCAATCACAATTTACTTTAAATTGACTATTTTAACAGTTGTATGTAATTACACTATTTATATCAATATATTTTCTTTAAAGACATACAATGTTTGATATCTTGATTTAAATTTATCTTTAAATGAAATCTTATATTTTAAAAGTTAGATATTATCGTCAATAGAATAATAACAATTGCTTAGTATTATTGGTAGAAAATTCTATTGTAATAATAAAAATAATAAAAATAATTCACAATTTACTCCTAAGACACTGAAACTGACAAATCAATAGCAATCAAAAATAAATATATTGTAAAAAATACTCGGTTGCATCCAAAATATCCAAACTCATTATATTTAAACTCATAATATCTAATCTCATAATATCTAATCTCATAATATCCAAATCAAAATATCCAAACTAAATATCTCAAAACTAAATAAAATACATTTAATACAAATGAATTAATTTAAATAAAAATATCCAAAATTATTATAATTACAATTTACAGTAATAATTTTAACTGTTACTATAAATATTTATTGAAAAATAATTTATTTTGGATAATTTAATTTATAAAAAATAATTTTAGATATTTTTATTTGAATTATTTAAGTTGGATCAAATGTTTTTCTTTATATTATATGTTTGGATATTTTGAATTTTAGATATTTTGAAAGAGACCCAAAAAAATACTATTTGTTTGTGTTTGCAATAGATATATAAATTCTGTCGTCTAAAACATTTTGATATGTGAAACAAAAATAAGAGATAACTTGAAAATAGAGACCAAAAATAATTGAGAGAAACAGTTGAAAGAAACAAATTGTCTTCAAATGTCTTCAGGCGATAAACATATTGTGAAATCTATTTTTATTCTTTGAGTTTGAATATTAGTAAAACAAAGAATATAATAATAAAACGTTGGATTCAATCCTTTTTAAAAACATTTTTAGCTTAACTTTCAACGAAGAAAAAACAAATTGTATAAATTTATACTAAACGTCAAGTATGATTGCTATACATTAAATTGAATTAAGTTTGAGATATTAAAATAAATTGAGACAAAACTTATTTTTGTTAAATAAAATTATCTAAATTTACTGTAGTATATCATTAAATAGAGTATATACTGTATATATACAGTATATATCTTAATATGTATACCCATGGTCGATGATTTTATGCATTTCAATTTATATTTAAAAATATTTTAATGTAATTTTATTAACCTTAGAGTTATAAAACTAAATAAAAATAGTTTATTAGTTTTTACTTACAAGTTAATAGTATTTGTTATTTTTATATTGAATATTTTTTTCTAAAAGATACCTTTAAATTATAAATATAAAAAACTAATAAAACGTTATTGTTATTAATAAATAGGCGTTCATTGAATAGAAATACAAAATAATAAATAACAAAATATACTTTTTTGTGTGTAACTATAGTTTATCGGCAAATAAAACTAAAGTACTGTTATTTGCAATAGTTTTAGCACTGGTATGTCAGCACTGGAATAATAAAAGAGAAAATAAAAGCCAAACAAAATTTATTGATTGTTTGCTTATGTATTATTGATTGACTCGTGTGTTAATATTTATGAAAATATGTGAACAACTAGTAAAAGGAGCCAAAAATAATAATTGGATAAATGAGAAAACAAAACATGAGTTACTGTTTTTTATACAGTATATTATCATATATTTTTGGTTCAATTATTTGATAATTAGCAACATTTTGTTGATAAAACAAACTAAATAGTATATAAAGTATATTCAATACAGCAAATGAATAGATGCAAAAAAAATTAAATGCTATTAATGATTGATTGATGCAAAATAATATTATATCATATGCCAGTATATTTAATACTACAAATATAAATTTATACAATTATTTAATTATATACTCATAGTAGTAATATGTAGTAATATAAGTAGTAGTTTTGCTTAGTTATATCAATTGATTATTTATAGTTAGATATAAGGAAAATATATAAATATAGAAAAAAATTAAACACAAGTTTTATTAATAAATAAAATATACAGTATATAATATAATAGATTATCTAGCGATAGCTAATTTATTTGGTTGTATAGTACTAGTATTTCAACAATTATGTTATTTATATAAAATGTTATATTAATACATCAAATAGTATCAATAATTAAATAGTTTTAATTAATAAATAATTTGTAAGTAACGTTTTGGGTTTTTTTTGTCAATCACTATAAATGTTCAAATAATTGTCGACATTTAAAATAGTGTGGATAATACTGTATTTTTTTATTGCAAAAAACTCTGAATACCAACAAAAAAAACATTCAATAAGAGAAACACACAAATAAAAAAAAAGTTTATTGCAATTCGTGGCTATTATTGATTTAATTGTTTTGTGTAGAATTGAAGATAATAAAAATAAAACAGTTAACACACACTTCACTAACCGGTAAATTGACATAAATTGCTAATAATTCACACCCGAAAAAATCTATAGTTTTTTTGTTGGTGTTTTTTCTGTGGTTTTTGTTTCATTATATGGTTAGAAACGAGTATTTTATTTTTTAAAAGCCAATTATTGATTAATAAATGTATGATCACTTATATAGAAAATAGCTAATCATTGTTAGAGATATATATATATATATAATTACTTTAACTACTTCATTGTACTAATATTAAAAATATATTTTTTATAACAAATTAATAATTAAACTAATTTTTTGAGAAATAAGAGTGAAAATGAGTGAATGAAATGTTATAAAAAGCCAAAATAATAAAATATCAAAAAAACTTTATCTATGCTATATATAAAAGAAAATCTTATTTTCATTTATAGACAAGAAAGTGATTGATATAACAATATTTCTTTTTTGAATAAATTTTATCTTCAATCAAAAATAAGCATTTCTTTTATCGTCGATAAAACATCTGAATATTATGTAATATATTATTTAACATTATAAATACCGTATATCTAATGTTAAATTTGCTTGAAAAATAAGATTTGAAAAATGTTTAAAAAAATATGAATTATAATGTATTATAATTAGCTTTCATATATACTGTATATAAATTATATATCAGAATAATAACGTGATTATGAGTAGTACTATGACAAGTAGTTCATTGACAAAATTATATTAATATTTATCAAAAGTACCGACAATTTATATATAATATTTATAAACCATATGTAAAATTATATTGAATAGTATGTTAATACAGTATATGACATATTTTATTATAATTTACAGCAAACAGTATAATATTGTATAGTAATTACATTTCACGTAATAGAAAATTTTTAGTTATTCTTATTTTCTCAATGATAGAAAAATTTAGTATAATTCCTACTATAAGTTATACTGTATATTGACTAAATAAGTTTGATTCATCAAGCATAAATTATTTATTAAAAGTTTTAATTTAAAACTTATGTTTAGTTTATTATTAATTTATTAAAATAAATATTATACTGAATATACTGTATATGTTATTATTTATAGTTATTTATAATTTATAAAGTTATAATTTTTAAGTAATATATTATAATAATTGAATAAATAAATTGTCGATTATTTTAGTCAAATTTACAGAAGAATGCGAAAGAATTGGAGACTCTATTATCGGAAGGTCAGGAAAAATGTATAAACAAACGGTGCGTTCAAAGCGAACAGTGCTGTCCGGGATCGGTGTGTGTGGATCTGGACTTAAACCAAAATAATTTGGGTATTCATTCATTCATTTCATAAAATAATAAGAAATTATAAATTTTTTAAATTTTATTTCAATTATTTTTTCCTTACTAACTAACAGTTGCGGGCACTTGTCTGCCCATATATGGTGTTAATGAGGGTCAGTCGTGTCGGATCGACAACGATTGCGAGCCCGGACTCAGATGTCTGGACAGTCAGCCGGTTGTGGCAATGCGTCAAAAGCACCGGACGTGTCAACCGCCGGGAAGGGATATGATGAAGAAACAGTATAGTAAGTCTATAGAAAGCACTGGTATTATTATTTGACGTCTGAATATGATTATATGATTTTTGTTTGTTTGTCTATCAATGTGTGTTCAGATGATCAATGCGTGACAAGCAGTGAATGTGATGCCAGTCATGGTCTGTGCTGTCAACTAATACGACGGTACCGAATGTCACCAAAACGGTTGTGTTATTACTTCTCGGACGCCAACACTTGCATCGGTTCGGTTGATGTGACGTTCGCTAAACCGGTCAGTGCTGTCACGTCCGGTGCGTTCAATAATCGACTGTTCAAAGCGAGAATCGGCTGATAATTTAATTACAAATACTAAATAATTATTATTATCATTACTTAAAATTTAAAAATATATATAATCTTTTGTAAAAAATATTAATTCTTTAATTAAGAATAAAATGTTTATCTTTTTTTGTCAAATAATACAATAATATTGAAATATTTAATTAAATGTTATCTAAATTTATCAATTATAATTATTATTTATTATTGCTATACCTTGCTATAATTATTAACAACACCATCAAAGAATATTCTATGGTTTTTTAATAATTAATTATATTTGTTTGTTATAAAATTTACTTTTTATATTACAAACTTAATATAATTTAAATGCAATGTTATTGTAAATTTTTTAAATTGTAAACATTATATTGTAATCTCATTGTCTTTTTTAATTTACAAATTATTTTAACCTAATAAAGAGTTTATCTATTTTCATAACTTAATATAATTAAACAAAAATTAATAAAAAAAAATATTAAGTACGACATATGACGTCTATTAAGTAAAATAATGTTTAATTGTGTTAATAAAATTGATTTAAATAATTTAATCAATAAATTTCATAACAGCTATTAATCATATCATATAATAATCAGCTAAATATCATATCAAATGATATTTAATGATATGATTCAATGATATTATTTAAATACTGCCATAATTTTGATTTTCACTTCAATAAAATCAAGGTTATAATTATTTTATTTTTAGTACAATACAAAATTGTATTAATATTGATATCTCTCAAGAAGTTTGCATTTTTAATTCAATTTTATTATACGGAAATTGTTTGTCCAAAATTTTTATAGTATTTTATTTAATTAAAATTTATTTTTAAATATTAATTAATAAACTGATTTCATAGACAACTATAGTTTACTTTGTTGTTATCAAATATCATATAATGTTTTTTTTATAAAAAAATATAACTGATTTTTGTCAATTTTTTAAGTTTGTTGAACGTTGATGTCCGGCAGTGACAAAGACATGAAATGAGTGGACAGTTATGTATAGTTGTAAACTACTATAGATTTTAGCAATGTTTGAAAATGACTAGTCATTCAAATTAATCATTTACAAAAAAAGTTTATAAAATTTATATCTAAATGCTTTATACTATTGACATCTAGTTTGAACAATTTATCAATACAATAATAGGTAAACAATTTTTAAAAAAATTTAACACAATATTTCATAAAATGAGTAAATTTATTTAAGATAAATTACAGTATATAATAGATGAAACTATTTTTTAGACAATTTTTGTTGTTTTTAAAGTGATTCAAATACATGTAGAGTATATTGCAGTAATGTAAATGTGTTTTCATATTTCATAGCATTTGGAAAGCAAATGTAAACTTTATATATTTTTTTATTCATAATATAATCCAAATCATAAGCATAATGAATACGAGTTGTCATGAAAATTGGTTTTAATGTCCAAATTGGGTGATAATGTTGAGCATAAAGTCATTGTCATTGTTTGCTTACTATATGTCAGATAACTCACCAGTAGTTCACAGAAATTATCGCCTAAGGGATCGATACTGTCTTTCGATGACATTATGGTTGACCTCATCGTACAGTACATACTGTTTATATGATTGAAGTCTAACTTAACATTTAAGTTATATCAATCAAATACTTTTAATATTATACATTTGCTTATATATTGAATGAGAAAAATTGAGAAATTATTTTTGTTACTGTAATTAATTTTATTTATATAACAGTAATACTACCGGTAATTAGCCTAGATTATTTTATGACTTGGATTTTATGGACAAAATGTGCGTTAATTTTTAATATATAGTTTCATAAATCCATTAATTTTCTTCTATTATCTTAAATTTCTTTGGATTTAAATTACCAGTAAAAGTGAAAATTTTAGTAAAATTATTGTAGCGTATAATTTGTGACAAAATATTTGAATAATAATATTAGGGTAACCATAAAATATTAATAAATACTACAAATTGAAGATACTTTAGTCAACTTTTTAACAGTAATATCTATTTAAGCAAAAAAAAAACAATTTATAAAATTAAAATTGAAATTTATTCAGCACAACTTAATTAAGTTTAATATATATATATGTAAAAATAGCTTTCATTCATTATAAATAAAGCAATGTCATAACTAACTTTGATTGTAAATAATTAATTTTTTTCTCAACAATTTTCTTATACAATGATAATTAACAGGAAAAATACAATTTTGATTAAAACAAACAAAAAAAACTATTTAACAGTAAAACATGTGCTTTAATTGGCTTCTCAAATGATCGGTGCAATTGTCGACAAACACAAACACTTGTTGTTTCAATGTTTACCAAAAAACTCTTTGCTTTTCTCGACATCGGGTTTAATAGTATCGGAGCCGGGTTTCCAACCGGCCGGACAAACTTCTCCGTGAACATCAGTGAACTGGAATGCCTGAACCAATCGCAGGGCTTCATCAACGTTGCGGCCAACGGGCAGATCATTGATAGTAATCTGTCTGAGGTTTTGTTTGTCATCAATGATGAACAGTCCGCGTAGAGGAATTCCCGCATCGGTCAAATAGACGCCATAATCCTGGCATATTTTTGCCGATTTGTCGGCCAATAGCGGGATCTTCATACTACCCAAACCTCCCTCTTTTCGCGATGTGTTCACCCTATTGGCAGATAAAACATTGACCAATAATTAGTAACATATGAATTGGTGATAACGGTTACGGGTAGTGTCCATACCAGGCCAAGTGACTGAAGTGACTGTCAGCCGAACAGGCAATCACTTCGCAATTGGTTTTGCGGAACTCATCCGATCGGTCGCTGAATGCAATGATCTCCGTCGGGCAGACAAATGTACTGTTAATAGACAACAAATAATATTTAATTTTTAACGGATCCGTTGCGACAAAATCTTTGATTGTCGATGACTTACAAGTCGAGCGGATAGAAGAATAGTATAACATATTTGCCCTTAAAGTCACTCAATTGGATGTCTTTGAACTGTCCGTCCACTACTGCCGTACCTTTGAAGTCGGGCGCCGGGCGGCCAATCTGTGGATATCTGGTCGATGACATTATCGGTTGGAGTTTACACTAAACAGCAAACAATTGTTTAGTAAATTAAATCAACAAAAAAAAACATTAAATCAATTAAATTACTAAACAATTAATAATCAATAAATTTAATTACAATTAGTTATTGAAATGAAGGCCAAAATGTCTGAACAAATGGTTTGTTTGACACAAAAGCAATGAAATGAATGAAAGCACTGAATGTCTGTTTTCTCTTTAAATTCAATGCTTTTTATTATATTATGTTTTTGTACTCAAAAAACTGTACTTAAATTATAACTGCAATACACTATAATTATTAGTACTTTTCTAGACTTTTCGTTTACATTGTCTATAATGACTATGAAGTGACACCTATTGACAGTATATTTCCTAATAAAATAAAATACACTTTAATTGATGAAAATTATTGTTTAAATTAAAGTTATTTTTTAAAAAACAAACAAAAATCTTTTTTAAAAGTTTTATAGTTTTCCATACGAAACGTATGTAATTTGTATCCAAAATAAGTTAGTTTGCAAATTTTCCAGAAATTTTCATTTCATTTTCAATTATATATAAATCATTTATACCGGTAATTGTTTATTTATATTGAAACTTGCAAATCATTTTAATTGTAAAGATTAATATTAATAAATGTTAAGTTTGTACAATAAGTTTTTATATGGGAAGTTCCAGGGGAAATTAGTCAAATTAAATACTATAAATATGAATGTATGGTATATGTATGCATTTCTTATTAATTATCAATTTTTTCAATAATAATAAACTTGTAATTATTTTATTTTATTTTTTTCTAATTTACATTTTTACGTGTTTAGTGACATGTTTGAAAATTTAACTTATAGTCAATGCAAGTAACTTATGCAAATATTTATTGATCATTTTAACTAATTTATGTTATAAAAATATATTTATAAGTCAAATATGGTAATGGATTTTTTAATGCTAGAAATGATTATTGTTGTTTGTTATTTTTATATTCATATATTTTTAAATTATTTACATTGCTAATATATATTGATTTGTAAAAATAAGTTTATATAATATGTGGAAAATTTTGCTCTAAATATGAGTAAACTATATTATTTTTTATTAACAGGTAATAATGACAAGTTTTATTAAAAAAAATATAACCACTAATGATTGTGTATTTTTATTATATAATTTATTTATAAATATATATATTAATGTACAAATATATTTTGTTATATAATGTGTTATATTACGAACAAAATAACAATTTTAATCATTTGAAGGTCATAAATATGTTTTATTTTTTATCATTTAAACGAAATGTCAATTTTATTTTTTATCTTAATTTTCAATTGTTACTAATAATTCAATGTATATTTTAATTAATAGTTTCATTTAAATTAAAATTGAATGAGTGGGTGAATGGGTGAGTGTGATTCAGGATATAATTAATTTTATTAAAAAAAAAACATTGTAGATGCATTATATACTTTTTAGTTGATTATAACTTTTTAAACAAGGAAATTTATTATAATTTATAAATATTAAATATTTAACAATTTTTTTTGTTAAAAGTATGTGTGATTTTGTAATTTAAATGTATAGTTTTTACTAAATTAATAATAATTGTTTACAATTTAATAGAATAATACTAAATTAAGTTTTAAGCTTCAATAATACCTTATATCAGTATTAACTGTTTGTTGATATTATCTATACTGATTAATAACCTTGTATAGTATTATAATTATAAATATATATAATAAAGCTATATTAGATAATTACTATATTTTATATACAGATATTGTAGTACTGAATAATACAATATATAAATATATTGAGAAATTATATTAATAATATTGTTAACAAAAATATAAGACATTGTTAAATTTATAAAAAATTTATATAAAAAATAATAGTCGTATATTAATTATGATAAATTACTATTTTATAAATCAATCTGCATGTAAATTATTTAATATTACATAAAATATTTTACTTTTTAATAGTGTAAAATTATTACACTAAATTAATTGTTATAAAAAATAATATATAATTTTAAGGTACATATGTATATAAAGAATTTATTTTGTTATTATAACAGATTGTGTTATATTTTATAAAAAAAAATTGGTTTGTATAATATATTTATAATAATAAAAAACAATTTAATAAAATTTATAGTATTAAACAAAAAAAAAAATATAAAACAAAAATTTTTATATTACTAGATTTAGTAATGATAATTTTTTTATGATTATAATAATTTATTATATGAAGAAAATATTTAATAATGTTTTGATAAAAATTATTAATAATAATACTTAGGGGTATTATGTTATGTATATGTACTGTATATTAATATGTAATATATTGATATAAACCGGGATCATTAATCTGTTATTATTTGTTTAGTGCCTAAGTTTTCTTTTAGTAAAACTAACTTTAGATACCAATAACTAATTAATAAATTTATTACATTTTAACAATAGATAAACTAAATGTAGATATTTAACAACTCATCAAATGAGTAAATAATATACAATATCTTAAATTATTAATTATAATAAATAAGTTTTTGTTTGCAAATACATAATAATATGCAAATATTTGTATTATTACTATCATATTTAAAAAATATCTATTATATCATAAATAATTCTTAAACAAAAATGAATTAAATAACCAAAAAAGTGTCTAGGACACCCGGTATTCCCAGGTGGTCTCCCTCCCAAGTACTAACCGGACTCTCGGCTGCTTAACTTCGGTGATCGAACGAGAACCGGTGCTTTCAGCGTGATATGGCCCTAGACATTATCAATAGATTAGCTAGATACTTTTATTAATAATATTAATAAATTCAATATAAATTAACAATTAAGCATTTTTAAATAAAATATTTGATTAAATATATTTAATATTATTATTTTGTATACATGTGTATATATTATATATATATATATATAATTAAAAATAAAAATATATAATTTTATTTTAAAAATGTTTAATGGTTAATAATTAATTGTTAATTTATATTGAATTTATTAATATTATTAATAAAAGCATCTAGCTAATCTATTGTTAATGTCTAGGGCCATATCACGCTGAAAGCACCGGTTCTCGTTCGATCACCGAAGTTAAGCAGCGTTGAGACCGATTAGTACTTGGGAGGGACACCACCTGGGAATACCGGGTGTCCTAGACACTTTTTTGGTTATTTAATTCAATTTTTGTTTGACATATATTAAATAACTACAAAATCAAGTTATATTAAATTTAATTGATTTTATTAAAGTTGATTTACTAATTTATTAACTAATTAACTAATTTAGTCGTTTACAACAATAATGCCAACGATAAGGCCATATCTTCGCCCATCTTTACTGATCCACCCGTGAAGACAAAACATGGTTATCATATCATTATGATTGAGGGCAAGAAGTGATTCATTTATTGATTGGTTATTAAATTTTTTATTTGTATACACATTATGATTGATTAAAAAAATACAAATTAATTTTATTAATTTAAACAAAGTTATATTCATTACTTTATTTATAGTTTTACTCATAAATGATTGTTATGTTTAAAATTTAAGTGATTAATATGAATGTGAATATTATTCAATTACAGTACTTATATAATTAAATAATAAACATTATTAAATATCTTACTATAATTATATGGCATTAAAAAATAACAGTAATGTTGATTAAAATTGAATGAATTATAGCAATTACTTCTTATAAAATACTTTTTTACCGCAAATTTTTTGAGACCACTTTTCTTTTACGTCTTTTTATTTGCTTTTATATTGTTTTTATGATGTGATTGTTGATGTCTTATTAACCAATATCTTGACCTGAATATGGCATCACATCCATAATACGGACATTGAAATTGTTTGTGAAAATTCAATTTCAAATGTCTTTTCAATTGACAATTGCGACCAAATGTTTGGTCACATTCTTGACATTTATACGATGTTTTATCATTTATTAATACGTTTGTATTATTTGTTTGTTGAAAGTCATCAATGATTTCATTATCATTAGAGTCATCCACTTCTTTATAGCTATCAGATGATTGGCCACTACTTTGATTATCGCTATCTTCAGAACAGTTGTTGAGATTTATAAAGACTTTGTTATTACAACTTATCAAACAATTGTCTGAATGGTTTGTCTGTTCCTCCAAACGGATTGTTTGGCCATTATTTTTGTGGTAAACTGAGTCGTCGTCATTGACCATAAAGTTGTCGACATTTTCCATCAAAACCCGATTATCATTCAAATTATAGTTTTCTAATTCATGTGATCTCTTCAGATAACTAGACATCAGTTGTTGGTTTTCATTGTTATCCAAAACTTTATAATCAACATTAACTTCACAATTGTTTTGTTGACTAACTTCTGATTCATTGTCTGAATCAACAATTTCTACTATACTTGTGGTTAATAACTGATTATAATTATCAGTTGTGATCGCAGTGTTGTTAGTAAACACTTCTTGTTTAACGACCAGTTGATGACTTGGATTAGTGTCCACTTCGTCGTCCAATTGTATTATTTCAATTTCTTCAGTCTTTGTTAGCTCATCGCTTAGTTTACGTCTGATTTCAATGTCATCATGAGTTGTGAAGATGTCGGACAAAATATAATCATTGATTTTACCACCTTTTGTGAAGAGATCCAATTGGTTGCTATCGATAATAATTTTATAATGTTTAGACAAATGAGCGCTGATTTCTGGTTTTAGATCTTTTATTGTCTTAACCCTCGAAGACATCTTAAACCAGAAGTCGTCCACTTTTGGCTTTAATGTGTTTATCGATAACTTAATGTACCGATTGTTTGCCATTATTTTTGACAATAAAATTAAATTCAATCACAATTTTTGTTGTTGTAGTAGTACTTTAATATCAAACACTTTTAAAAAACTAAAAACTATTGTTAACTTTTGAAAGTTTATTAATTTGAAAATTAATTAAAGCGTTTTATAAATTATAATACAGTAATAAATGAGTAAAATATTATTCATATGATATGAATCTATGTCTATGAATCTATGTCTATGAGATATATAATACTGAAAATTTGAAAATAATAACTTAAATTATTTCAATAAAAACAAACTAATAATTTAATTAACAAATACAGTAATATTTAATTTAATATTTTTGTCTTATTTAGCATATATATACTAATTTATTGAATTATATGTGTGTTGTCTTATTATTAATATTTTAAGCAAATATTATTAACACTTATTTGTGAATTCAAAACACTTTCCTTACATTTATTTTCCATCAAATATTTGGCGACATATGTCTGGGTCAACGCTTTAACTTAAACCCTATATATATAAGTCAATATCACTGACCATTTATTTTCAATAATAATTATAATAATCAAACTTATATTTATCGATAGTTTATTATATGAAAATTAAATGTAAGTAAATTGTAATGGACAAGAATCAGTCCCGTAATTAAGGGTTAAAATTAACGTTTTAATTAAATTAAATAAAAATAATTGTTTTTATATATTTAAAAAGTCAAAAACATATTCAAGTGTCACTACATTTTACAGCACTGTTTAAACTTTTAATCGTAATATAATACATAGTATTAATAATACTGTACAGTATATTGTGAGCTATGATATGTACTACATGTAACTGAACTAGACATTAATCTTAGATTAGCTAGATGCTTTTATTAACAATATTAATTAATTCAATATAAATTAACAATTAATTATTAACCATTAAACATTTTTAACATAAAATTATACATTTTTAATTATAATTATATATACATATTATATAATATATATATATACACATGTATACAAAATAATAATATTAAATATATTTAATCAAATATTGTATTTAAAAATGTTTAATAGCTAATTATTAATTGTTAATTTATATTAAATTTATTAATATTATTAATAAAAGCATCTAGCTAATCTATTGTTAATGTCTAGGGTCATTTGACGCTGAAAGCACCGGTTCTCGTTCGATCACCGAAGTTAAGCAGCCGAGAGTCCGGTTAGTACTTGGGAGGGACACCACCTGGGAATACCGGGTGTCCTAGACACTTTTTGTTTTTTATTTTTAATAGGATATCTTAATTAACTATAAATCAAAGTTAAATGAAATTTAATTTGATTATATTTAACAATTTATATATATATATGATTTAACAAATTAATTAAATATTAGATGAAATTTATTATACAAATACATTTTTATGGAAATTTTATCATTAAATGTTTGTTTGAAATTACATTTTTGCAGACATATTAACATATTCTTCGTCATAATTTTTTGAATTCAATGTCAGATAATAGGGAACTGGATGTATGGCATCCATTCCTACAGTCACTGGTTGTGAGGGAAATGCTGTTTCATAACGTTTTTCATCTGGATTTTCATAATACTGTGGTTCAGCATAATCTTCATACATATTATTATTATCGTTATGTATGTCATCGTAAATATTCATTTCTTTTTCATTCATCATTTCCATCTGTTGTTGTTTTTTCAGTTTGCGTTCACTTTGTTTTCGTCTGATTATAACCAAAACCAAAACGGCAACAATGGTTAAGACAACTATTATGACTATCAATATGATTGTTGGCATCGATGTACCACTAGATTGAAGTATACCTACAAACAAACACATCAATAGATTCATTAAAAAATAAACTTAAGTTTGAAAATAACATTTATAACCACAAAAAACATACTGTGTTTCAATTCTCTAAGATTATCAATTCGACAAACGGGTCCCAATTGATCCCAAGTGCCGTTTGGTAAACACGTACGAATCGAGTCGACGGCAAATACGTAATTATTTCGGCACTTGTAGTGAACGGTTGTGCCTTCAATGGCATACCATTTATTTTTGTTGAAAATATAGGCATTTTTTACTGAACTAATCTCTTCGGATTCGTTGTAGACATTGAGCTTACAAAACACATTTGGTATACACTGTGGACTACCGGCCCAATACTCATTGTCCACACAATCCCTTATCATTGATTGGTCATCGATGATAAAATCTGATGAGTTGACCAATGATCGGACATCAATGGCCACATCGGGATCGCATTCAATCTGTTGGGTTTCTTCATTTTGTGGCAAATATTTAGTCAGTAATGGCACGACTGGATGTCCACAGAATTGTAGTTTAGTTATGTAGACCTGATGTAAACCAATGACTTTGATGGGTTGGTTAGCATATGTAGTAAATCGTACGGACAATACTCTATTAACTGTATTATTATGACTGGGTGTACACCAAAACCAGAATATCTTAGCCCACTTGACACGAGTGGTAAAGTCTAGTGTACAGCTTCTGTACTCTTCATTGATAATGGTTACATTGCGAACCCGTATGCCATCAATTTCATTAATAGGTCGCGACCGGAAGCCCAACTCAGGTATCTTAACATTAAGTAAAAAGAAGTCAAAGATTATGCCATCTTTGAACTCAAAATGCCATTCGTGTGGCTGATGTGGTTCATTGACTACCAGTGCAGTACCACTTTCATCATAATAACAGGCGGGAAAGCCGTCTCCGCTATAGTTTGCAGTTTTCATGTCAATCACTGTTTGATTTGTTTGCAAATTAACAATTTTTGCTGTCATCAACTGATTCTTAATAAAGTAGCCACACGTCGATCGCGAGCCCATCCACTGACCGGCGACACACCGTTTGGTTTGTGTCTTCACATATATCTTATCGTATGGACAACTATAGCGAACCTCTTCTCCATCTTCATAGACAGTCTTCTCTGGTTCTACTTTTGTGTCGTGCGGTAGACCTGGATATCCACATCTGCTTCCAACCCAATAGCCGTAACACGTGTTTGTGATAATCAATAATATAAAAAATATATAAAAAACAAAATATTTTTTATAAATTCTAGTCATTATTATAACCATAATTTATTATATTATTATTTTTATTGTTATTATTATTATTATTATAAAAATTTCTTTTCTTTAATATAAAAATAATTATAAAAATTTATTACATTTGTTGATGATATTCATAAATCTATTAAACTTTGTTAATGCATTTTAAAATATATTTCTAGTTTATTATAATTGTATTTTTTTATAACTATTAACTAAATTATTTTTATAAATGTGTAGGATTTTAAAAATAATTTTAATTATATACAAATGGATTTCCTGAGCTGTAAATGATTTAATAAACCTTTTGTATTAACTAAAGTTTCATAGAATTACTATATATTGATATATTGAATGCTATATAAAAATTAAAATCCGTTTTTATAGTTTCCGTTAATAACTAATAGACAAAACTTTATAATACTTTATTTAATTATGAAATACAGAATAATTAAATTTAAATGTAATTTTTTAAACATATACCTTATATCTATAAACTTAATTACACTAAATTATTTTATATTTAAAAATTTGATTTAAATTAAGTTATGATATGCTGTATAGAAAAATAAGTCTCAAGAAAATATTTAAATTTACATTTCTAACTTATTATATAATTATATCCTATATTGTAATCTAAATATGATATTTACAATAAAATAGTTATAAAAGTATTTTCAATAAAGCAATATTTTCAGTATATTGTTAGCTAATGATAGGATCGCATATTAGCTATTAATTAACGCTAATATTAAAAAGGAGGGAAATATAGTGACATTTATTAAGTGTATTCATCGCTGAAATTGGGTGTAAATTGTCGTATAATTAATGTATAAAATTAAATAATTACTGTAATATAAAAAAATGTCATATATATTGTATGAAAAAATACATATCCACAAATAATCATTTATCGATGTATATATATACTGTATATTAATAAATATAAAATAAATATATTTACTATTGAATGTTTAGACATAATTAAAATATATTCATATTAAATAAAAGATATTTTATGACAATAAAAACATACACAAAAAAATAAATTATATCATCATATAGTAGTTTATTACATTTTATACAATTTTTTTCGCCTCATAAAAACAATATTCACTTTATATATATATATATATAGTATAAATAAAAACATATAAAACATAAAATATATATTTATTTATATAAAGACATCAATACTTGACTGTATAGACCATAAGTCATCCGTTTGTAAAATAGATATATAATAAATATATAAAATTATATATTTTTTGTTTGTTTGTTTCAACAAACATATCAAATGACATTTAATTTAAAAAACTTTAACTAAGACACGAAAACTTAGTGTAATAGTAGTCGTATAGTAATATACTATATATTTTTTTGCCTCAATTATCGCTGTTTACGGTATATATTTAGTATCTGATAGTTTAGATAATGATCTTCAGGTTTGTTATTAAAGCTTGTATTTTCAATAAATAAGTTAATTATCTCTTTTCTTATAAGATATATAAGTATTGTCTTTTCATTTTCTTGTCGTCTATTCATTCATTTTATTTACTGTTATTTTTTTTATATATATAACTTATAAGAGACGATAAAAGTGAAATTCAAAGATCTGATAGCAATAATACTAATACTAATAGTATGATGTCTTTATCATCACTTTTATGGCAAACAACAAGTAGTGGTGAATCAACAATCGATAACTTTTGGTTATCAATTGATCACCAATTGAAACTATATTTGTGGACAATTAGTGAACTAAATGCAATCAAATATGGCAGACATCTGTCAAGGAATGGCATTCGTGTCAATCACCACAAGAAGAATTGGAAAGACAGATACATCAGACCTGACTCTAAACCTAACAAATTTAAAGGTATTTTTAAATATTGTTTTTTTATGTATTCAAAAAAAATAATAATTTATTAACAATAATATAATCAATATGCTATTAATATGTTGATTAAAGATCCGTTAAAAATGATGTCCTTATTGGTTAACTCTAGCAATTCATATATTCATGTGATTACATTTAAACAAAATTTAGTCGACATCATCAATGATAATCATCCTAATGATATTGTTTGTGGCAAATATTAATTTTCAACAATAATTGAGTTTTTTTTAAAATCATTATCGGTATTAAATTATTATAATTTTACAATTTATAATTTGTATTATAATTTTAGTAAGCGACACTCAATTTTTACTGTAAATATTATATACTACCCGTATCACTGAAACTTTATCTATATATCATATTATTTACCACATAACTTATAACTTATTTATAAGTTACTAATCAATAAATAATAATTATTTTATATGAAATATTGTTTGACAACTATGTATAGAATATTTCATTAACTATTGATTTATTATTGATTTTTGTTAATTAACGTAAATTATATTACCTCTAATTTACTTTAAACACTTACAATGCTTATAATTTACATAACATTTATTATTAAATCTATGAAAAAATACTTTTTACATTTTATTATATAACATATTACTATTATTACTATAATAACACTATATTTGATTTGAAATAGACAATAATATTATAATTTATATTCAATGAAATTTGATTACCGGTAATATATAATAAAATTATCGGTAATTTTTTTATAGTATATACCATATAATTGTGTTAAATACATATATCGATAACTTATGGGATATGTTAACAATAATTGTTAGACACTAGAAATTAATTGTATTATTACTATAATTAACTGATATGTATAGTAAAAAACAATGCATTAATTTAAAGAGATAATTACAAAATTATTAATAAAAATTATGATTAAATTGTTTAATGTATTATATTATACGGTATATCACTATTGAATAATACCTGCAAAACAAAACAAAAGAAATCAATTTTATCTCTTCTCATATCTCCAAAGCAACTGATCCATGATTTCACTGAAATATCTTTGATGACCATCAGTATCGACAAAGTATTGACCCATTGTTTGTTCGTTGACTGCATTGGATGTGATAATACTTTCATCTTCTTCTACTTCTTCATTGATGTTGTCATCGTCTTCTTGATTCACGTAATGAATTTTTGGTCCAAGAATCGGATCATCACTCGGATGGTTAATACGTCTGTATAAACGCCTACAAGAACTGGTCGACGACGACGACGACGGTGTCATCTGCGGCAACAGTTTACTCGATGTCTGGTTTGTGATCGACAACAGTGACTGATTTGTTGTCATTAATTGGTTATTGAATTGCAATTTGTTCTTCAATTTCATCGATTCTTTCTTTTTGATGAACTGTTGCAGAAGATATCGTTCGCGTACTTTCGTCGACAACTGACTGTTGTTGCCTTTGAATCGTTTCATGTGACCGCCCGTCCAGTTCATTGTTTTTCTGGCCAACAATTAGACTGTTTTTCTTTAACTGTAATTATCTTAATAATCAAAATCTGTGGTAAAAAAATAAAATGTCTTCAAAACTACTGAAAGAGTTTGAAACGCGCTCTCAATTGATATCAATTCAACATATGATGCAATCAATAGATTCGTTCATATATTATGTAACACACAGTTAGTAGTGTTTTCTATAAGTTTTCAATACATTATGAAAACAATTGTTTTGGACGTAATTTATGGTCACTTTTACTATACAATTCGTTTGTGACATTTGCTACTGAAATGATACTGAATTGCGGTAACAGTTGTTTGGATCAACTTATGGTGATATTGTAATGTTGTCTATCATTAGTGTCATAACAGCGATGACGTGAGCGACACACAGACGAGTTGTTTGTTGTTGTTTTTGTTGACAAAATGAGTGACCAAATGAACGGCCAATCATTCCTCATCGGTCTGTGTTTGGCATTAAGTTCGTGTGTCTTCATTGGCATTAGTTTTATCATCAAAAAGATTGGTCTCATTCGCCTATCATCTCGTGGACTACGGGCCGCAAGCGGTGGTTTCGGGTATCTTCGAGATTGGGTTTGGTGGACGGGTTTGCTGTTTAGTATGTATTGATTATCATCACTTTGTTTGGATTAGTTGATGATTTTAATTAAGACTTAATACAATGGATTTGTTTACATTTATAGTGGGAACGGGAGAGTTAGCCAATTTCGCTGCCTATGCCTTTGCACCGGCATCTCTGGTCACACCATTGGGCGCACTCAGTGTTCTCATATCAACTCTATTAGCCAATCGTTTCCTGAATGAAAAACTTAATCTCTTAAGCAAATTGGGATGTATTCTGTGTTTATTAGGTTCAACGATAATTGTGATTCACGCCCCAAAAGAGCAACCAATTGACAGTTTGGATCAAATAGGAGTAATGCTTATTGAACCCGTATTTGTCTGCTATATGTTATTTGTTATGTTTACCTCATTTTTGTTGATATCATTTTATGCACCAAAATATGGATCAACTAATGTCTTAATTTATATACTCATTTGTTCGCTTATTGGTTCGCTATCGGTTGTATCGGTTAAAGGTCTAGGAGTGGCCATTAGGCAGACATTGACGACTCAAAACAATCAATTACTAAATCCCTTGTTTTGGGCATTTCTCGGCTCAGTTGTAATAACAGTTTGCATTCAAATGAATTATCTGAACAAATCTCTCGATATCTTCGACACGAGTGTCGTAACTCCCATATACTATGTATTCTTTACCACATTTGTGATAATAGCGTCGGCATTACTGTTCAAAGAGTGGCACTCAATGACTACTGAAGACACTATCGGTAGTATATCTGGATTTCTAGTCGTCATAATTGCCATATTCTTATTGAATGCATTCAAAGAGTTCAATATATCATTGAATACTTTGCGATCTAATTGGATGTCAAAGAATATCCAGAATGTCAACACTGATCAAACATATGGCAGTACAGCAGTCAAGATGTTGGCACCAGATATGAGTAGTAGTGAGTCGGCACTCATCACATGGACGGCAACCGATGATGAAGAGTATAGTTAAATCTCATTAATTAATATACAATATACTACTCTATAATTCATACCTATTATATAATATAATAATTATACTTAAATTTTTATTATAATCTATATATTAATTATGTTAGTTGTTATAAAACTTTTGTTTTGTTAGCTTTACTATTTATAATTTTTGATTAAATAACTCATATTAATTGTAATTAGGTAGTAATAAGTGATAATTGTATCATAAAATAGAAATTAATTATCGGTAATAATAATTTAAAATAAATTATCGGTTAGTTTTTTAAAATAAAACAATAATTGTCAAGATTTTGCTTTTATTAATATAACATATGTATGAGTAAAATACTATATAAATATATTTACAAAATGTATAGAAAAAATATAACATTTAAAACAACAATAATAATTAAATTCAATGCATTAGTTATCGGTCTTTATTCAGGTTTTTTTGGGACAAAACTTTATGAAAAAGACGTCATATTTTTTTATTGTAAATGCATTGAACTTAAAAAACAGAGATCAGTCCATAATCTATATGTGATGACTATGTACTGACCAAACTTTAACCTCACCCACCACTGGACGGTCCACACGATCGGGAGGGTCTGAAAGTGCTGCCCGAAGACGAGCCCATCAACGGATTATAGCTGTTGTCACGCAAAGGCTTTGACTGTCGTTTTCGTAGAGCATTGACCATAGAGTCGGGTTTGTTTGGATCAACTGATTTCAGCAATTGTTTCACTTCTTCCTGTTTTTTCGACTCAATTTCCGCCTCTTTTTGTTTAAATTCTTGGGCCTTCTTGTCGTATAACTCTTGCTGCCGTCTTCGGGCCGCTTCTAACTGCTGGACCCGATTGGCCACTGTTTCCGTATCTATCAAAATAAATAAACAATCAATAATAGACACATCTGTTTCTTGATGTACCAATCAATACCTTCATTAGCCCTTTGATGTCTTAATCGATCCAAAAGTGGTGACAAATACTTGTTGTAGACGACAGCTATTGAGATGATGGCTAACAATAGATACCATCCGTATTGCACAAGAAGATCACCGATCAAACTGATGGTGTCTTTGACTAACTTTGGATCTGAATTTGTCAGTTGATCCGCCATTTTTTGGATCACTTTCTTGTTAAGTATTTTTTTCTCTTTCAGTTACAAAAGCCTTTGATTACATCTTCAGTCGAAATATATATATATTTTCCCATTATTTTAATGAGTCATTCATTTATATTTCATATTAAATAAAAACAACAAAAAAGTTGTCAATATTTATATAAAAATAAATGTTTCCTCAAATTTAATGAATATTTGGTCCGATTTATACCAATGATATACTATTGACTATTATTATGTAATAAAGTACCAAAAAAAAGTGTTTGAAAATTTGTTTTCAAATATCTAGACAATAGATGACAGGCTATCAAACATTTTTGTGTGAATTACAATCAAAAATTACTAAACGATTAATTTAGTTATTTAGTTGTCTAATAAATCGGCTAAAATTTAAGCAATTAAATTTAATATAATGTAGTAATATAATTTAATATTAAATTAACATATCCTAAGCAGAAAACAAAACAAAAAAATTGAATTAAATAACCAAAAAAGTGTCTAGGACACCCGGTATTCCCAGGTGGTCTCCCTCCCAAGTACTAACCGGGCTCGACGCTGCTTAACTTCGGTGATCGAACGAGAACCGGTGCTTTCAGCGTGATATGGCCCTAGACATTAATATTAGATTAGCTAGATGCTTTTATTAATAATATTAATAAATTCAATATAAATTAACAATTAATTATTAACCATTAAACATTTTTATTTTTAATTATAATTATATATATATTATATATATACACACATGTATACAAAATAATAATATTAAATATATTTAATAAAATATTTTATTTAAAAATGTTTAATGGTTAATAATTAATTGTTAATTTATATTGAATTAATTAATATTATTAATAAAAGCATCTAGCTAATCTAATATTAATGTCTAGGGCCATATCACGCTGAAAGCACCGGTTCTCGTTCGATCACCGAAGTTAAGCAGCGTCGAGCCCGGTTAGTACTTGGGAGGGAGACCACCTGGGAATACCGGGTGTCCTAGACACTTTTTTGGTTATTTAATTCAATTTTTTGTTTTGCTTTTTGTTTAACATATATTAATTAACTACAAAATCAAGTTATATTAAATTTAATTGATTTTATTAAAGTTGATTTATTAACTAATTTAGTCGTTTAATAATTTTTTTTACTATATTAACAAAAATGTTTGCTATAACTTATATAATGTAATTTATATAAAATATTTACTCATTTGATGAGTCGATATATAAATAAATAAATATCTAGTTTTATCTACTGTTTGAATAGTAAAATGTTGTTTTAAATGATTAGTAATTGAAAACAATTTTTTTGGAGTATTTTTCTCTACTGTATATTTGAATAAAATTAATTCAAAAGTTTATTTCGTATTTTTTGTGGTAAATTTCCCATAAAATATTAATATTTGAATTACAAATATTAATTAGAAAAAATTGAACAAATTTTTAGCATCAAAAATAATATATTATGATTTTTTAAAAATTAATTATATTTCATAATAATTTATTTTTCAATCATTATTACAATTGAAAAAACTAATGAATCAAAATAATTGTCAATAATTTGTTTTAAACTTTTTGTTTAAGTTATAGTAAAGTATAGACAAGTTTTTCACATTTATTCACTAATTTTAAAAAAAAGGTTTTTATTTTATTAATCATTGCATATATTGATTGTCACTAATTAATAGACAAACAAATTATTATTTAATATCTGATTTAAGTACTGAACAAACAAACTAATAATAAATACAAAACTTGGGATCCAATTGATTGTGTAGTGATGCCACTGTTGTCGAAGATTACCGATTCACAGAACCGATCGCAAACCCAGTACTGGAAGTCCATCAAAGCGACCGTTCGGTACTGTGATTCGCAACGGGACAGACACTACAGCACCGGTACGACTGTATGTTCGTATGCGTCGCCAACTATTACGTCATTGGTTCCCGAAGAACAACGACACGAAAGGCTGAGGAATGGCATCCAAACGACACACTTTTCATTCACAGCTCTTCAAACTGCTAGTCTAGTGGCAAGAGTTCAGAGAAGATTTGAATCAATTGAAAATGATAGACACGAACATGTGGTGGATGTGCTCAATGATATTTGCCATAAAATGTATGACACAAATGAATTACTACTTAAAATCACCGCTCAAGTGGACAAAGATGGAAATGTCTGTTCACTGCTCAAGAAAATATGCGATTCACTGAAGACTACGTCGCCGTCGAATCATTCGTCAGCAGATAATTGGCCACAACTCGAGACTTTGGCCAAAAGTACCGCTTTGATTGGCGAATCAAATGCCCAAATGGTTACCGATTTGTCCAAAATTAGAGAAGAGTTTACAAACATTTGCTCAAATCAGACAACAGCTTTGGAAAAGATAGTTGAAGACAACAGGACTTATTGGAACCAATTGTTGAGTTCTGGGATCGAAATCAAAGATAAGACTCCATTTCCGGTTCCATTAGTTGCCGATCAATGTTCTGATTATAGAAATGATATGAAAGATCTAAAAGAAAATGTGATAAAAATCAAAGATGAGGTCCAGATTGCCAACAATCTGATTGAGAAAATGGATGATAACATCCAATTGAATGATTTTGAACTGAAGAATGCTATGATTGATATGAAACACGAAATATTGCAAATCAAAGATGAGATAATTGCTTTGAGAGAAGCTATCATCGATGTACTACCACTTCGGCTCAATGATGTCATGAAAGGTGTGTTTTGTGGACAGTCATCGCAAATGGGATCCGATATTGAATTCATTGATAATGAAGAAGAAGTAGAAGAAGAAGAAGAAGAAGAGATCAGTAAGGAGATGAATAATAGCGAAGATACCACCGGTAATGATGACACAGAAATATTAGATTCAATTGATAGCAATCCAGGAGATGTCTAAAAATAATTTTTATAATTACGGTATTTCAGATAATTTCAATTTTTAATTGCTTTGTTTTATTTTATTAATAATTTAGTTTTTTTAAAAAAATAATTACACTTTAAATATGTTAAGCGAATCATATTATTTTTTTTAACTGCTATTAATATAATGAATAATTTTTAATGAAAAACTATTTTTATTTAATGTAAAATACATTTTAAATAATATTAATACTTATAATAATAAAAACTTTTTTAATGATATTTAAACATTGGTCTCATTTATATTTTTTTATTAAAAAAAATCTATGATAATTATATTATAAATAATTGTATAGAAATATGTTGGTTGGTACAGTATATTAAAAAGCTACAAGATGATTTTTTAAAAATATATTTATATCAATAAAAATTTTGAGACTCGAGATTAAAAATGTCAATAAAAAAAGTTAGTCTTTATTTTTATTTAAATAATGAATTACATAATGAAGTAGAAGATCGTAACAGTATTTGTATTCAGTCTATCAAAAAAATAATAATAATAGTATCGGTAATTAAATAAATAAATGAATAAATCATAATTCATAATAAATTTTTTTAATGATAAAAACTTACCACACTTTCAATTAATGCCGGCCTATGTCGGCGTACAGTTCGTACGGCATTGAATATGTCGACCTCCCGATGCTGTACCACCTGTTCCATGGCTACATTAGCCGCACAATAGACACCCGCACGAGCTTTACCATTACTATTAGAAAAATAAATAAAAATTAGTTACTTTTAGAAATTACTAGGACTAATGATTATGATGATGGCATACCACGACACGACAACAACCGGTCCATAATTGGTACGCTGTCTCCACCTCTCAACCATATTCATCAGCTCTACCAACGAATTAGTAGAGTTCGGTACCTTATTCTCTGGTGGCCAACAAGTTATCTGAAATAACTGTGTTGTCTTGGGTTCGGCCTTAACTCCGGCCATCAATTCAGTTAATGAAACCACTTTCTTATTGATCCGGAATATCCAGGTCTTAATGTTTGGATAGTGATTATAGGATACCATTTCAACTGTAAACACTGGTCCATACTTTTCTTTCTTAGCTCTTTCGTTTGGCCAGAATTTAGGATAAACCTAATTATATGATATAAAATTGATAAAATAATAATAATTTTGTTGTTATCCAATGCATACATTAGCCTGAGGAGGATTAGCTAAAACAATAACTGAATTGCAGTCGTGGTCGTAGACTAATGACCAGAGATCGGCCATAGTTTTCTTCATTGGCCACTCGGTAACTATATATTCTTTAGATCGAGTATATCCCTTTTTTAAAAAAATGTATCATTATATTTACCATTATTTGATTTTTTTTTTAAATTACTAAATAAATCATATCATTGAATATATAAATTATAAATAATTAAAAAAAATTTTTGATAACAATAACTTACATCAACAAAAACGGCATTAATATAGTCTGTATTGTCAGTGCTCTGGAATGATGTCAGATATGGCCGGAAATTATCAGCTAATATCATAAGAAACACAAAAAACAAATCGTGTATTTATATTAAAAATAAAATAAAAGTTATAAATAGATAACGAAATTTTTCGTTACAATTCATATGAAATCCCAAAAGATTTGGCATAAAGTGTTAAAAGTTTTTTAGTTTATTTTTATTTTATTATGTGTTTGTTTGTTTGTTTCTCTACATTAATAATGAATTATATAAAAAAAATTGATGCACACCTTAGTGATTGTGTGCAAACTATTTTTTAAAAGTATTTCAATGTTTTTAAGTAGTTTTTTGGCTAAAATACTTGAAAAGATTATGTGTTGCGAAATGTTTATGTGATTATTAGTATAGTATTTATTATAATTAAAGAGAATATAGAGATATATAATCATTAATTTATAATAACAAATCTTTTTTGACACTTTTTTTTAGTTGCAGTGACATAATTATTACTGTATGTCTATTATTATAGTTAATAAGCTTTGCTATTAAGGACTAAATAAATGCTGAGTATAAATAATTTATATATTTGGTAAGTCATCAAAATTGTGGTGAAGATTACATATAGATTTTTATTATTTTTACTTATTAGTTAAAATTATTACTAATTTTTCACACATTAGGCTAACAAAATTGTGATAATATGACAAACACATAAAACAAATGTTATTAAATTTTAAGTTTAAGTTTATATGACTTACGGGGAACTATAGATACATCGCGATTCTTGTCGCGGTTTTCAATACGATGACCGCCAGCACAGTCACCAATAGTTGGTTTGACTGTCATCTTAAGAATTTTCTGATAAAAAATAATAAATTTAATATAAAATATAGTTATAAAATAATTGTTGTTTTTGATAATGACCTGATATTCTTGATGATACTCATTTAGATTCATTATATTTTTGCTGGATTTGAATCTCATTTGTTGTGACAACTCGTCGACTGGAAACCATGTTTTGCCACAAAAGTATGCCTCTTCCAGGGCGTCGTATACAAACTTGTACTGATCCTATATATTATTTTATTAAATACATCTAAATTATTGTATATAACAATTTATTTTTAAAAAATATGAATGTAATAACTGTTTTCCTATTTTATGTTAATGCTACTAATTGAATTTGTCTAAATGCTACTATTATTGTAACAAATGTTTTATTTTCGTTTAATTAATTAGTATAAATTATTACTAAAAATTAGTAATTTTATATAAAACTTTTACATAATTAAAAAAAATAAATGTATAAAATAATTTAAATAAGTATTAACTGTTAACGTATTCAGTATAACATTTATAATTACCGGTAAATAAAAATTATATACAATATATATATATATATATATATATATATATATACTGTTTATAACTGAAAACTTACCACATTTTCGATGAGTCCTTTACGCGAGTGTTTCATACGTTTTGCGTAACCGTAAACATCATAATAGCCGTCCTCTTCGGCCAACTCGAGGTTTGAGTCAATACATAAATAAGTACCGGTTCTGCCACCGCCGTCACTGTCATCACAATAAAAAAAGTATATTATTTTTATTTTTGAATTATGAAAATTATTTTCTAAGTTTACAACAATTTAAATTGAGTAATAATTATTTGAAGAATTTAAATAATTTAAAAAATAACAAAATATTAATTATAGTATAAGTTTCACAAAACTATTTGATAATTTATTTTATATTTGGTATTAAATATAGCAGTTATGTATATCAATCATATATTGAATTAGAAATTATATAATTAGATTTGACGTCAATCTTAATGTCATATCAGGTCAATAGCTGTCAATGATATTCTGTCATAATTTAGATACTAATAAATTGTTTGCATATTTTAAATTTTATGATTAATTATGGTTAATATTGAAGTTTTCTGGTATAACTTTTAAAGTATAATATTTAGCTATTTTTTATAAATAAAATTTTAGTAAATTATGAAGTATTTTAAAAAAATAATAATTTATTATTAAAACATATATATTTTACTAAAAAAAATCATAATAATATTTGTGTCATATTTATGTTATAAATAGATTAAAATGTATATTAATAAAAATTGTTTGCATTTTGTAATTTAGTAAAAAAGCAGTAACCATCATTTAATATATATATATATATATATATATATATAAAATACTATAAGTTTATAAGTTTAGTTAAATAATTCGTAAGATTAAAAATAATAAATTTGAATTAACACTGTAAGACATACGCAAATGTGTAATTCAATTATTTTTTCTATACAATTGTTACAACAAATACTACTGTACAGTAAAATGTGATTACAATAATATATATTAAAAAAACTCTCATTATTCAGCTTTACGTCAATCCTGTTATATAACAGTTTGGATTATACAGTATTTTGGAGACAAACTGATGTCTGTCTTTACGGATGACTTAAAAAACAAATAGTATTATATTATTATATTTGTATAAAATAGAAATCTATTATTAAAAAAAATAACAACTAATATAATCTAATAGATATAAAGTTTCACTAAATCTAAATATAATACAATACCAAAATTTATTTTCTTAATTTTTGATAATAGCTATGCTATTAAAAATAAACTATTATTTAAATAAGAAATTACATTATAATTTATTGAAGTGTAAAATAAAAAATAATTAACAAAAAATAAAATAAAATCAATGTAGCAATTGATACCTGCAGTGGACAACTGTTGGTCCGATTTCACTTAATTTTTCATCGCAAAGCACTTCATTCATATAAATACGAACTCTTCGACGAAATTGAAGCAATGAATTAGGGAATGGACAGGTATGTGATGACCAACTGTGATAATGCAATTGATATATTATGCGACAATCTTCCTCATCATCTTCATTATCGTTTGCACAGAACTCATCTTCAAAGACATCGTCAACCAGTTCTTCATCTTCATCGATGTCGCCGAGCATATGGTCCGCATCATTGGGAAATTCATTTCGTGCCGACAAATAGGTCTCTGTATTCAATGTATTTAAAGTCCCGGCTTTTGTTAGATTGGCGTCACTGTAGTAAAAGGTATTAATAGTTCCGTTTTCTACTGTATTTAGCGATGAGAATCGTGTCGATCGGGACTTATTGACACTCCTTAAGCTCTTAAAACTTTTATCTTTATTTAGACTAAGTTTTGATGATTTTTTAGCCAACTATTATATAATAGTAAAATACAACATAAATACTAAGCAATTACTGTAATTTTTTTAAATACTGACCGTCTCTTCGGGATTCCTGATCTTAAAAGTTCTGATAACAAAATCAGCTAACGATTCCTCACTGAGCAAAGTCACCTCTACCTGTCCATACATTTCGGGTTTGTTCTCAACCATTGGCCAATACTGGCAACACATGACACGTATAAAGTCAAACACTTTTGTCAACATTACTATAACCATTGATTTCTGTTCCCAAATCATACGCCAAAAATCATTTATAGTAAACTCATTGGGTCCCTGTGCGGCAATGTATGCATTGGGCTTTAATATGCTCTGCAATAATAATAATAATAATACATTTAAATTTATGTATAATAGTATTTACATATAGTATGGTATACATTGTTAAACAGTATATAAAGTTATAAAAGTTATTAATAGAAAAATTATGATAAGAAAAGTTGTAAATGTATAATGCAATGTATAATATTATTTATAAAATTTTTATGATATTTTGTGCCAAAAATTCTTATTCATTGTATTTAAATGAATGAATTTCTAGTAATAGTGAGTGGGAATGGGAGGGCAGGGAATGGTAGAGAGAGAGAGAGAGAGAGAGAGAGAGAGAGAGAGAGAGAGAGAGAAGAGAGAAAGAAAGAGAGAGAGAGTAAAATGACATGACTTACATCAACATAGGATGCATTGACATAATCGGAATCGACTTCTTCGGGAAGTTGTGGTAAAACCACACGATTGAAATCATCTGATATATTGGTTAAACATTTAGTCAATTGATTAATTAAATAATAATAATAATAATAATAATATCATAAAGTATTTATTATGATACATATGTTTAGTTTCGTAATAACATATAATAATAACAATAGAAAACCATTTCATCAGTTTATATCTCCTTAAAATCTCAGTTTACATTAGTTGTCAATCATTATTATTATAATAATAATAATAATTTTGTTGATTACTAATTAAGTTAGCAAATCTTTTATAATAATCTTAATAAGTTTTTAGTATCATTATAGTACACACAAAAAAATTGAAACAAAAAATTATTAACATTTCTAAATCAATGGCAAGAAACAAAACAAAAATAAAATGAAAATAATAATTAATGTAATGTACTAACAATTACTAAAATATTTCTATGCAATTTAAATTACTTAAACATTTTTATTTATTTTTTTTGTCGGGGTTTATAATCTAATGTAAAAAAAAAATTTGTTTAACTAAAGTAAAATAAAACAAAGTGTTGACGACATATATATATATATAAATATATTAATTATATATATATATATATATATATCATATAATATAATATCAATGGCTTACAGGGCAGACACTTCTTGGGAAATGTATTCTTCAAGTCGTTCTCCTCTTTCATCGCGTGTCGGGTCGAGTGCTTAGTTGTCGTCTCATTTTTTGAGGCAAACTTTATGGTAAAAAATATGCATAAAAACGCAAAATAAAAACAAAGATATATCAGATAATTATAAAAAGACAAAACATTTTTAATAAAACACTTTAATTGTTTCATATTATTGTTGTTTTTGTTTGTTATAAACTGTGTTTCGACTTTTTTCTAATGCAATGACTACTAAATATACTAAATATAGATCTTTTTATGAAAATATTTACTTTTAAAATCACTATATGTTTTACATATATCATATATTAGTGAATAGTGCTAATCAGTAAAGTATAGATAATAATAATAATAATGGATATTTAAAAAAAAATTATAGCATTTTGTTAATGCATAAGAATTTCTCTTATGATTATAATGATAACAAAATAAAAATTGTTTATTTAAAAAAAAATTAACGATTAACTCACTTTAAATAACAGTTACACTTTAAAATTTGTGTAAACTATTATTAATATTGCAATTTTTTAACACAAAATAATTTTTAATAGAGTCAAAAATAAATTAACTAATATTTTGATTTAAAATTATTTTTTTTTAATTTCATTTTGTAATTTAAATAATTATTATAATATTCTTTTTTTTTATTTAATAGGAATTATATTATCAATAAAAATGTATAATTGTTTAATTATAAAACTAGATATAATAATTTATGATATTTATTTAAATATTATTACACTTCCTAAATAGATCTTATATTTTGTTTGTTTTTGAAACAGTTCCTTACAAATCACAAAATTATTTAAATTATTACATTTATTAAAAATTATTTATTATATATATATATATAAATATAAATTTTTAGTTAAACAAAAAGGTATAATACATACGTGAAACTCGAGTTTAGGTAATACTTCATATTTCCTCATTAGCTGTATGTGTGCATTGAATTTATTGAAGTCCATTGGTTTTTGTGGCACTAATTTAATTGCCAGTGACTCGTATTCAAACGGCACTAAACCGCTATTTAATATCGATAATTGTATTTTATTTAAAGTATTCACTTTATTAGAGCCACTCATGATTTTGTTGATATTATTTAATAAATAATGAGAAACAATAATAATAATAATTCAAGAGTCACTCATCAATACTTAACTTACAATAATTTACAATTTAATATAAACTTATAGTTGAGAAAACAATAATCACAATATAATGTATAATATATACAAAAATTATTAATATATATATATATATATATTAAACAAATTATATACACATATTTACACAATATTATTATGGCTTTTCTTCTTCACCATTACTACTAATGTTTGTAAAATATTTGTCTTAAACTCATAAACTCATACAACTCAAGAAGTGTATTAAACAGTCGCCAAAATATATATATATAAACTAAAAATAAATTACTTTATGAGAGAAACTGAAACTTTATTGCAAAGAATTTTTAAGTTAAACTATATATTCACTGTTATATTATTTAAAGTGATATACTGTACTACATGTATATATAGATACTGTATTTAAACTAAATGTACAGAATATAACATAATAATTAAATTTATAATTTGTTACATTTAAAATAAAATTTATAGAAAACATTAATTAAATATATTTTTTAAAATGAAATTTTTTAAATAAATCACAATTAAAAAAAATTAAATAATATATTAAAATTAAATGATTAATAGTTATTTTTATAAAAGTTTCAAAATATAGTGTGTAAAGCAATTTAATGCACAGAATCTCTGATTTATAGAGATGAGAGCCAATTATATCTTAAGCGGTTTGGTTTGTTAAGGATATTGTATTTTCAAAACTTTTAATTCGGTTTCTAAAATATAAAACAAACAAAATTTTAAAAACTAAATTATCGGTTCGGTTAGATTTAAACAATAATTTCTACTCTCTATTCTCTCTGTATTGATTTGTTTTGTTATATAATAGGTTGTGCATATTTTTGTGATTTTTTTTGTGGATCGGTTTCCTTGAAATTAGTCCCGAGTGATACACATTGTATTACACAGTCTATCACTGATTATTACAAATGTATTACTAATACATTTCAACGAAACTATTGACAACAAATTCAAAGTGTGATTCAATTGATATTTATTTTTTCCAACACGTGATACACGCGTGACATCTATTGGTTAGTCAATGAGTGTTGCATTTGATTCAATTGATTTGTATGTTTCACATGTTGTTATTGTTGTTGTTGTTGTAGTTGATTATCACTTGATAACTATTTGTGACATATGTTTACCGGATATCTTCAGTGACAGTCATAGACACACACTCTCGGATCCGTTGGATGTGATCAACAAAAAAATAAACAATAATTGTTTTGTTTGTTTTGGTTTTTATTCAGTGATTCTTTGAAAATACTCGACAAATCAATTGATAGTCATATTAGATGACAATGTCTTCGCCGACTAAGAATAAAAGGAAACAAGAGGTTCAAGAGGTTACCAATGAAGACAAGAAACGCAAAGAAGACGACGACAACAGCGATGACGATGTTGTAGAGGATGAAGATATTGTCGATGAAGAGGTTGACGACGAGTCAGAGGATTCTGAAGAAGACTCGGATGACAGTGAAGACAACGAATTTATAGATAAAGTAATTGTTTGATTTGATTGTCTTGTTTTGATATTAAATATCATTAGATATAATATATGATAATTACTATACTCTGTCTAATAATATAATTATAATTATCACCGAAAAAGGAAGTCGAGATCGAGTTTGCCTCTTATCCGGTCATTGAAGACGATTTTAATGGCATTAAATGTCTTTTGGCTCAGTTGTGGCTCAAAGAGAAGATCAATATATCAGATTTGACTCAATTTCTTGTCGATCAGAAGACAATTTGTTCCGTTATTAAGGTATTATTTTTGTAGCCATTTGTTGTAATTATTGATTTAAATTTATAATTCAAATGAACAGCAAGAAGCTGATGATGACGACGAAGACGAAGACAAAGACAAAGAGAAAGACAATGATGACGAAGAAGAAGAAGATCTCGATGTTTATGGCGTCACATCACTGATACCGTTGACTTCAAGTACAGATAAAGAGTGTATTAAACAAATACGAAACACATTGCTGTCACACTCGCCAAAAGACAATGAAATTCATAAACTATTAGCGAATGAATCGTCAAAAGTTGGTTTAATTGTAAGCGAAAGGTTTACTAATTTGCCGCCAAAGATCTCATTGCCAACGTTTGAATCACTGATGAATGACTTGAAGACAACTACCGATAATCAAACGAAAGATAAATTAGATATCGATTGGTATCTAATGGTTTGTAAAGTATTGAAACTCAAGAGCAAATCAAAGAACAAGACATCGGATTCAAGCGCTTCAGGAGATGTGATTTACATGAATGCTGAGGAAGAACTGTTTGATGAGATTAGTGACCACAGTCTTGAATACAGTGTCGCCAATCAGTGCGATTCAGATGTGTTTGATTGGAAAGATGAGGACAATCTCTACGAACCGTTTCGTAAAGTATTGCTATTATCGGCTGACAACTGGATTAATGCTATCAATCGATTAAAAGAAGAATTCAAATAATAATTGAAAAAACAAACATTTTTTTGTTGTTTTGATAATTTCAGTAAATTTATGAGTTTTGACTAATAATGTTTATGTTAATTAATAATATAATTATATTGTAATTATGTTTATAATATATATTTATTTTTGATTTAATTAAATTTTAAAAATGTAAAAATATTAATAAATGTTTTGTTTGTATTGATTTCACAATAAAAAAAACGATTTAACTATTAATAAAAATGTTAATTAAATTATGAAAATATTGTGTGCAATTTTTTATTAAATTATTTTAATTAGCGATTTATAATTAACCAATTAATTAAACGTTAGTTATAAACAATTAGACTATTTTAAAACAATACCAGTATATTAATACCAGTTTGTTATAATAGGCACACTATTATACTGCAATATTGACGTCATTGTTGAATAACTATCATAAGTTAACATGTACAATTTATAAAAACTCAATTAAACAATTAAAAACAATATTTAATTTAGATAACTTATACATAAAGTAACTAGATTAATTTAGTTAAAATTGAAATAATAATACTTAATAGTATTCAATTGCGAAAAATTAACAAAAATTGCAACTAATCGATGATACAAACTGTGATAACATATATGTTGAATGTTGAGTGTAGTCCAGTGCTAAGCACAGGTATGATTCAAGCTTTGCGCAGAGGCAGTACCTCAAGCAATGAAGGTTATCCTGAGCTGAGGTTATTGCTAGTTGAAAACTAAACCCAATACCCCGCCAATTCGACTCCATGAGGGTCGGGTTCGGCAATTTTTGGAGGCCATCACAGGCCAAACACCCAATAATTGAATTGACAAAAAATAGGATGCACTCAATAAACATAACATTTTAATAACACTTTATTGCTATTTTAATGCAATTTATTTTATAACTTTACTTTTAAAGTAAATTTTTATGATAAATTTACTAATTGTCTAATTAATTATACAATTGTATGAACAGTTTATATATATATTGTTTATTGTTCAATGATTTTTAAAATCTAATGCATAATAATTAGTTTTGTTTTGACTATTACTCAAAATGATAGCAATTTGATTTATATTTGAATAAAGTTTTAATTGATTAAAATAAATTAAACATATTTGTTAATTAAAAAGTTTTTATTATTTCGATAATTTTTTAATAAATAATTTTATGTATATTACAATTTAATACAAATATAAAATGGACGGTAAATTAGACATAAATTAAATTACTGTCCGTTCAAAAAACACATTTTGTTCATTAGAATTACAATTAATTGTTAATTTTTTTTAATTTATAAATATTATACAGGTATATAAAATTTTATGAATTTAACATTTTATATATTTATATAAACAATTTTGAATGAGGAAAATGAGTTGTTAATCAAAAAACATCCGAAAAGTTTGCAGATTATCTAAAAAAATAAGAAAACAACAAAAAATCAGTAAATTTTGATCAAAAAGTTTAAATTTGAATTTAATTTCAACCAATTGATAGTCCTATAGTGTCTATAATATCTATATAAGTAATGTTGACCTGCAGTGAGACATAGAGAGCCGGTGCTCATTGAGTGGACACTGTTGTTGAAGTTCATCCAATAGTTTCTCTTCGAGATCCCTGTCATCGACGGTCATAATAAGTGTTGCCGTCTGCGGTATGACCGACGTATTGGCACAGTTTGGACTGTTAGTCAGCTGCATGTTAGGCATATCGGCCACTGAGACCGTGCCCTGAATGGGATACGAGTATATATGAGCCTCACTGCGAGGCGCGCGTGGCGTGCGTTTGACTGTCGCGTACATCGGCTCATCCATTCTTAGGCCGGCAAAGTCGCCGTTCACTTTCGGTGTTGTTGTCTCCGTTCCGTTGGCACAGGTATGTGGCGTATTGTAAGGCGAGTTAGTGTATGTGGAACGACCCGATTTACATGAGCCCATATGCGACATCTGCAACGAGTCTTGCTTTCGGCCATAGATTGAGCCGTTAGCTGAACTCTTTCGGAGGACTAGAGCAACGATCACTAATAGTATTATAATGACCAACAAAGTGATGGCCACCGGAATCACAATTGAGTATTCGTTTATATTGGCGTTCGGGCTCTTGCTTTGCGAGCCCCGTATCGTATGACCCGAAGCCGTGCGTGAGTTAAGCTCGTGGTTATCCGTATACGTGGAAAAAGTATATTCAGCCTCTGTTTTACAATAAATAAAAAAAAGATTAATTAATTAAAATTATAATAATTTAATCCAAAATTATAACCCATTACCGGTAAAGCCAACTTCATTATAGGCAGTAATCTGTAGCTGATATCGGGTATTGAGATTCAAATGATTGAGATCTATCTGTTTATCGTTGATATTGTAAAACACTTCCGTCCAATCATTATTGGAATTTAGCAACCGATACCGTATCTTAAATTTGGTAATGGGACAGCCACCGTGATGCCATGAGTCCAAGTGCACCAGTGCTGCCGTACGGTTAATACTGACTACCGATGCCTTGTCGGGTGCAACGGGCACTGACCTGATATTTTCAAATATCAAAATTGAAATCAAATACACAGTTTTATTAGTGAATGTTATATTCAATTATATAATTTATTAAATACTGATATAATTATTACGATATTTAAAAAAAATGATTTGTTAGACTAGTTTTTGTTATTAGATCTGTTTAGTGTTTAAGTGATAAAGTATTGATATTTATATATAAGAAAAGTTTTTCAATATTTTTGTGTGAATGTTGTGTGAAAAATGTATTTTCAGTCTAATAATAATAATAATAATAATAATAATAATAATATCAGTGATTAATGACATGACATATAAAATGTAAGGAAAGAAAAACTAAGATAACTTACCCATCAGTTTTGATTGTAACCACGTCTGACGGCTCTCCCCTACCGATCCTATTGAAGGCAATCAAATAAAATTGATAACGAGTTCCGCATTTAAGATCGACTGCTGTATAGAAGGCCTGTTGGCCGACAATACGGATTTCTTTCCATTCGGCCGAAGTGTCCTGACGTTGAAATATTATATAACCATCAACTGGATTGTCGTCATCGGTGACTGGATCCCATGCCAAATGTATTGATGAGCCAGAACTAGAGGTCACTTGTAATTGAGGTGATATCGGAGCATCCATTTCTAATAAAATTAAAAAATTCAATTTAAAATTACCGGTACTATAATAAACATTAGTTTTTTAAAAAATTAATTCAATGTTACCTAATGTTTGTATTTTGAGCTCTTCAGATGCCGGACCTTTGATATGACATTTGAAATATAACCATAAATTAATTAAAAGATTTATTTTGAACACATTTATGAAAGTAAATCAAAGTTTAATTACCGGCTCCTTTAGTATTGAACGCTTGAACAACAATAGAGTATTGAGTGAATTGTTTTAAACCATTTAAGACTACTTCCTCTCGAGTGCCGTCTCTGATCTCTAATGTTTTGTAAACAAATTGACTCTGAGATCCAAACACTTTATAACCGACATAATAGCCGCGAATCACTCCGTGTTGTTGGTCAAGATTGGGTGGATTCCAAGTCACCGAAACGGATCGTGAAGATACGGCACCTACTTTGATGCTCAGTGGTGGACCTCCTGGTGACTCCTCCTCAGTGATGACTTCAACCACTCTGTAATTACATGAAAAAACACATTAATATTTGATAATTTTCAGACAAAATAATAATGAATTACCTGCTCGGGTCACTAATCCCGATATGATTTTCAGCCAACAGACGAAAATAATACAGAAGTGCTGGTCTGAGACCAACTATTTGACCAATGGTTTCACCGCTTGGTATCGAAACGTTCAGAGCTTGCGACCAATTATTAGGATCGGCACCTTTTGGCCGAGTAGTGTACTGAATCAAGTAGTGGGTAATCGGCGAGTTTCCCGAATAGGGCGGCGACCACGAGATCTTAATTGAGCGACTGGTGATCTCGAGCACCTGGAGTTCTTGTGGCGGATCAGGCGATTCCTGGACAATGAGCTGTAGATTTGTGTCGTCAAAACCAAACGCATTGGACGCCACACACGTAAACAATGAACTGTCTCTTCTGTCGGCTTTCTTGATAATCACTTCCGAAATAATGCCTTTTGTAGTAATACTTTCATTGAGTTGATAGCGACTGTCCGATGATGTGGTCCCACCAATGGTGTCAATAACAGAACTGGCGATGACATCAATCTTTTGCTTATCTCGAGTCCAAGTGATACTAATGGGTTTATCTCCCAGTGCTTCGCATTTAAGTTTAATATTATGTCCTTTTTTGACCATTTCTGCTGTGAACTTGCTTTTGAAATGAGCGGCCACTGTATGGTGTAAATCATAGGACAGAGAAAATTGATATCAAATTATTATTTTTTTTTAAACAATATTATTTGAAAATAGTGTCCAATAAATAAGTTTTTTTGTGTTGGAAAAAAATTATATGCACTTCATGTAAGAAAAACTCAAAAAAAATTTTTTTTGTGTAATAAAAGCATTAAATATATTTTTTTCACAGAAAAAAAGATCTTAAAATTTATAACATCTCACTGGGAGTTTGATAAAGAACTTAAAGGACTATTTTCTATATATATATATATATATATATATATATATATATATATACTGTATATATATATATATATATTGCAAAAAAAAGTATACATTAAATACTAAAAAAATATATAATATATTAGAAAAAAATATATAAAAAATTCTAGTGAAAACTGAGAGCTAGAATACAAATTGTGAATCACATTATATTTCACAATAATTTTTATATTTTGTCGACTTTTTTTTCAATTGGGATGTGAAAAGTACTGTATGTGTGTGTGAATAAAATGTGAATTAAATTTAATCGCAACCCCATAAAAATATAATAATAATAAAATACTATAAAAATATAACATAAGTACAGTATATCAGAAAACATAATAATAATTTTATATATTAATATATAAATAGTTAACTTTAATAAAAAAATGAATTTCTGGCAAACAAAATTTAAGAAAATAATAAACATATTTTATCAAAAAATCTTTTTTTAAAAAAAATTATTAAATCTACACTTTTGTTGTTCTATTGAGTGAAAGTGTAAATTTTGTGATTATAATACTAGAAAAATATTTTTGTAAACTTTATTAGAGGCGGAAGTTTCTAAAATTAATTTATATTTTCTAATATTACAAGTCAATAAAAATACAAATATATATACAAACCATGAACACTAATTTTGACTACTTTGCTGAGACCCTGTCCAATGCCATTTTGTGCCTGACACAGGTAGTATCCCTGGTCAGTATCCCTGGCCTCTTGAATAGAAAGTGATCCATTTTCGTAGACTTGTAGGTGCGGACCACTAATAATCGGCTTAAAATCACGCGGAGTTTGACCTAAAATTTAATAATTATTAACAATGGTTTGTATAATAAGTGGTAATACTTAATGACTTTATTTATTGTTAAACATTTTACTAAATAAAACTAAATTAATTTTATTGAAATTATAAATATGCAAATTTTCTAAAATATCTATAACGGTATATTAAAAGTCATTTATTTAAAAAAAAACATTTGGAAACAGACTTTAAATATAAAATTAATTAAATAAATTTTGTGACCATATATTTGTGACACATAAACATAAATATCTTATATAATAATTACATAAAACATTCAGACATAATAATAATAATAATAATAATATACTGAATATTTATATCAACTTTCTCTTTGTCTGAACAATAGACATAAATATGAGAAATTTATTGTAATCTAACTGAAATACATAATTTTTGTTAATCATTAAAAATATATCATAATTCACATAAAAATGTATATAAAATTTTTGGTTTTATTATTATTATTTTATTTATGTAATGACTGCGAGGGGAACGGAAACTACCAATAGTACTGAGTTTCTCAACAAATAAAACATTAAATTACTGGTCCATTGAGTTGTTATGATATTATGGAAGAGAGAGAGAGAGTTAAGAAATGAAAAGCGGTTTATTTGATTAAATTAATCAAAATTATTAAATGACTTCTTATGAAATGTTGAGGAAGTTTACGACAATTTATTAAACACAAACCCATAGACAGACAAAACCTTAATGACTGACTTACTCGATGACGATTTAGTCCAAATGATGCGCGGATAAGGATATCCTTGAGTGGCACAGTCTATGGTTACACTCCGGCCCCTAACCACTGATGTGTCGGTTGGTTCAACTGTCCATCGAGGAGGCACTAAATATATGGTATATATATAAATATAAACATATATTAAGATATTTTCATTTTTATTAAGGAATTATTATTTAATGATTTATGGGATGAAGATGTCAGTCCCCTTTAGCATAGAATGACTGCAAGAATCGGTGTCACAAACGGCCCAAAGCTATACTCCACAAAAATTATTGCACTTTTATGTAAATCTAATGCTAATAATGATGATAACATTCACAGTCATTCTCCCAGTGCTTACATAATATATGTGCTAAAAGACTACTTATCGTAAGTACTAACTTAGCTATTACTGTATATATTATAGTATATATATATTTGATAGATATATTTTGTAATATATTATATATTGCCTATTCAGTTAAAAATTCAATCTAAAAATTTCAGTACAGAAAACCCATTTTACTACACTTTAATTAATTACTTTTCATACCATACTCTCAGCGCGTAAGCGATAAAAGTAATTAAAGTTTTTACCAGAAAACTAGTCAGAGTTTTAGACATTTTAAATGATTTTCATTTAATATTATATAATAACAAGCAGTATAATTAATTTTAATTAATAGACAGGTATAAAACATATAATTACTATTTAATAAAAATAACAAAATAGCAAATTCTAGTACAGGTTTTTTTTATTACGTATAGAATATTCTTGTATTATATTTTGCTTATATATATATATATATATATATATATATATATATATATATATATATATATATACTGTAAGTGTGTGTTTGGATTGAGAAAATAAATAATAGATAAATAGTTGTATTATTTAAATAATTGGTTACCAAAAGCTTTACTTCAATCAAACCCTTTTTGCTTCTCTGAGTCTTTTATATTTATGAGTAAAAATGAAGAGCAAAAAGAGTAGACAATTATTTATATAATAAATACAAAAGCCTTGTAATATATGTGTCTGAAAATGGATGTGAATGAGTGGATAAAAGAGAGAGAGAAAAAAAATAGATGAAATCAATTGATGATACGGTAGTGTTATAATGGTATATAACGGTATGGATGAGACCAAACACACACACATAACCATTAACTGAAGTAATATAAGAATGATAGAGGTTTGACACATCAAAATACATATATCTATCCACTTATCCTCTCTTTTCATATAATATAAGATATTATTAATGTTTTTATTTCAACACAACTGTACTTAATGTGTACCCAATATATCAAACTATATTTGTTGGTGGAGACCAACCAAAGGGATGTTGTATGTGGTTGATTGGTGTGTGATTGTAATTAGAGGGTTATGGTGTGGCATATCATACATACCGTGAATGATCATTGAGGCCGTATGGCTAACGGTGCCGGCAGTGTTGGTTGCTATACATGTATAGTTGCCCTTATGTTCCAATGTTAATGATTCAAACAATAGTGTGGACGAGTAGTCGGCCACTTCATTGACACGAATCCTCTTGTGTTGACTAATTGGCACATTATCTTTGAACCACTGAAGACTAATCGGCATATCTGTACTCATACACCACACATAGAAAATATATCGACAGTGCAAATGTAAAAACACATTAATATTTTAGATATTAATAAGAAATAAAATACATAAAAGAATATAACAATAATAAGAGAGAACAACAAATAAATCATAATTTCAATACAATAGACAAGTCTTTTGTTAAATGATTTATATATAAATCCATTTATATTAACATAAAAATAATTACACTATAATACAGTAAAATAAATAAATATATATATATATATATAAATCTGACATTTATTTGTTGTACTATCGTATTAAATGTAATAAAATTAGTTTATATGCGACAATACCTCCGCTACTAACGGTGCATAAGACCGATGCCCTCTGGCCCTCACGTAAAGACGTCGGAAAACTAAACGGCTCTATCACTGGCTTAACTGTTTTAGTAGTAGAAGATCAATGGAAAATCAGTCAGTCAATGGGATTTAGTCGATGCCCGGCTTAAGTCAAGGGGAACGGTATGTCTTATGTTAGCTGTATGTGTGTGTATTGTATGTGTGTGTTAACAGTGATTGGAGAGAAGAGCAATAAATCAATTTGAAAATGATATTGAATTGAAACAAACATTGAATGAGACAGTAGTTAAGTGAAGGGGAAAAATGAGTTCAAACAATATATAACTTATATAATTGAAGAAATAGAAAGTCTTTAATATACAGTTAAACAAGTAATGAAAATGTAGTTTTTTTTATATTTATTTTGTGTTTTGTAGTCCTATTGTTTTGTTTTTTTTTGAAAAAATGTTTGGACACTAACTTTGAACCCGAACATAGACAGAGCTCTGAGCTGACTGTCCTTTTTTGTTTTTGGCAATACATGTATAGAGGCCTTCATCAGTAGCCCTCTCGATGTGGTAGACCTCAAGAGTGCCGTTGTCGTGGACTTTCTGGCGATGATTATATGGCAACCGATGACCGTCTAAATGATGTATGAAATATATATATATAAATACAGACAAAAAAACAAGTTATTAAAAAAAGATTGCAAACAAACAAAATAAATAATTTGTAGATAAATAACACACAATACTACTAACTCTACTACTATAATAATTTGTTAGATTTAATATTGTTTTGATTTCTTACACATTTAAAAGCTTTTTTGTTGTTTTTTTTTTGTTTTTAGTTTTCTTCCTTTAACTTATGACACAGTGTTTTAACAATTGCTTTTCATTTTAAAAATAATGACTTAACTGTTACTTATACTGTATATTGTATTTGTAGTACCATTTGTAAGACACTAAAAAATGTTTATATGTTTTGTTATTATTGTTACTATTAGTATTGTCTCGCAATTTAAAACATATAAATTTTGTTACTTTTAAAACATAATATAATATAAATGATTTTTCAACGAAAATTTGCGAAATTTTTTTGTTTCACTCGACACACAATCATCTCTATGATGACAACTATAGTTTGAATTATACAGTAATCTGTAGTGTCTTTTGATTTCTCTCTTTCTAACGGTTTAAGTATTTTGCCATCTCTTTAGTAAAACAAAAGTGTCTCTTAAAATATATCCAAACCATTAAAGTAATCGATAAATAAATAAGTAACAGAAAAAAAACTATATATTTAGACAGAAAATAAAAAAAAACTGTATAAAACATTTTCACTGTTTTATAATAAGTAAAAAAATTATTCACTCATTTTTAGTTTGGTATAAACTCTTAGTATTTTTTTATAAAAATATAAAAACTTATAAAATATCTCTAAAATGTTTGTCATATCATAAATAGTATATATAAAGCCTTAAGTAAAATATTATATATAATATTTTCACTCAAACTTCTTCTACTACTACTCTAAGTATGATATCATCAAAAACTAAGCACCAAAATGAATGGTAAGGTCAGAGACAGCACACAAACAGAAAAGTCATTACCTCTTTCCCATGTAATGCTCTCCAGTGGATATCCCCCGACAGGACATCTGACAATTAATGGCTCACTGGCAACAACAGTGATATTCCTCATTGGTCTCACCACTGGTGGTCCCAACACATTAATTTTGGCCAAATGTTCAATACTGGACACACCGTTATCCGCTTTACACACGTAGGCGCCGCCGTCTTCTACTCTGACTTCGCTTATGTTAACATAACTAATAACGAGTCCCTCCTTTTGATTGAAAATAAAAATATTAGAGACAGAGAAAAATATATATTAGTCATATAGAAAAAAATAAGACATTTTCATATATATTTATATATTTATCATTTGGTGTTAATCCTAACCGTCAAAACCAAATGAAAATGTTTGTGTAGTATTTAATGTAAATTAATGGTCTGAATGATACCATTTTTAATACATACTTTGGTTACATAATCACCGAAACGAACTCTTAGATTCTCTGGAATTGGTGAGTCGTCCAATTGCCACGTAATCTGCGGAAGTGGTGTACCGCCGGCCACACACTTCAACGACAGGGCCGGTCCCGGCTCTAGGGTTTGGGTAGAAAATACTTCGCGAAATTCTGGCGGATCATCTGTTAATTAATTTTACATAAGATATTAAAATTTTTCAATTAATCAATTATTAGCAAAATACTATTTCAAAATTAATTATTGTAAAAATTTATATTAATTGAAATATCTAAATACAAAAAAAAATTATATAAAATTTAACTCTCTTAATAATATACAATATTATGATAACATAATATTATTACTATTAATACTATACTAAGTGATACAGTTATACAATACTCTGTAAAAGAAAATATATTTGAAACTTAATTATTAAATAAATAAAATCTGATTACATTAAAGTTTAAAAAAATAATTTTTTTAATTTAACTTTAAACACTAACAAAACTCATTATAAAGTTTATTTTACAACAACAAAAAAATGAAATAAAAATAAATTGAATATTTATATAGAATATAAAAATAATTTTCCCCCCATATTTAAAGTAGCATATTTAGAAAATAATTTTTTTTTATTATTTATTATATAAAAATAATTTATTCAAAAGTAAAGTAGTTTTAATTTTAAAGAATATATTATATATTTATTTTTAAAGAGATATTCTTAACAAATTCTTATATACCTTTTAATAATAATCTATTACTATATATATATACATTATATTGTACTGTTGTATTCAATAGAGAATTGAAAACTTCTATATTATAATCTGATAATAAAAAAATTGAATAAAGATTTCAAATAACATGCAAACTATTGGCCCAAAACTGTCGGCCCAATAGTTAGAGAATTTCCGAATGAAATTTCCGTCTGATTTGACTCTTTCTTGTCGTCGAGTTTTTCACAACAAAAAAGAAATAAAAAAAACTAAAAGAAAAAAAGGTATTAAAAAAATCTTAAATTTCTTTTAATATGAAAGACATCTGAAAGATAAAGAGCAGTCATTTTTGGTGAACATTTCATATTATTCTCGTTCGGATAGTTATATCTATATTGTATAGACTATGACAGATAAACTACTGGTATATAAACTATAAACTGTATATATATATTGTGTGTATAATAGTGTTTTAGTATCACATTTTAAATTTTTTCTTTTTTTTTGAGTGAGAGAGAGAGAGAGAGAGAGAGAACTATAATAATAAGAGATAAGACTAAGTGGAAGTTACAATAATATATATATATAACATTATATATTATATATATATATAGTCTATAGATTCTGTAATTTAAAATTGAAAGCAAAGAAAATCAAAGTAATAGAAAACCATTTTCTCCAAACATTTTAATCTAAACAATAACTTTATGTTATGAGAGAGAAAAAAAGTTTAGAGTTTTAAGAGTTAAAGTTAACCCAAAAAATATATAACAGAAAAAATTGCATTACTTATCCCTCTCTTACTGTATATATATATTGTGTTTTGTGTCATCCAATCATTCATTACACACACACACACATAGAGAGAGAGAGAGAGAGAGAGAGAGAGAGAGAGAGAGAGAGAGAGTGAGAGAGAGAGAGATAGGATAACTGTCTTTGTCTATCTATTTTAGGTCTTATTTCTCTTATATATAAAAAAGAAATCATTGAATTTATTTCATATTAACTTTTACTTTAAATTCACAAAATAAAATTGTAGAGACAAATAAAATCAATAAATTGAGATAAAGATAAAGAAATAACTACAACAAAGAGACAGACAGAGAAATAGTAAAAAAAATTATCCAAATATTCATTTGAAATACAGATAAAACATTTTATTATCAATCGTAAAATTGATAGATAATAGTTAATAGTTTGTTAGATGAATATACTGTATAGAGAGGAAAAGGACAGTCATATAAATGAGTCAATACATACCTCCCAATTGTAATTCGGCGAAAGCCTGGACTGATTCGTAGTCGTTTGAAGCGAAACACTGGTTAATATCAAACAAATATACGACAGAAATAAGTGGTTAGAAATGATAATCAAAAATAAATTTTGTTTTTGTGTGTGTTTTTTGAGTTACAAAAGAGAAATGATTGAAATCAACAAAAGAAGACAAAACACTATATAAATCACTTCACTGTTTAAAAAAAAAATAAAATAAAAATAAAGAAGTGATCATTAATTTCTGGGTTGAAAATGGGGTTAATCGAGGATTCAAGCGATTCAATGGGATGAGTGTATATTGAGTTAGGGCTGGACATTGAGTGGTATGGGTGGGGTGGGATATGCACTGGTATGTAGTTATATAAGTAGAGTAAGTGAAATGGTTGACTACCTGATACATTCCCCGGTGCTCTTTAGCCACCGAATCAATATGTATTAAATCTTTGGAAATGAAGCGAATGTCTGAATTAAATCCCGATTTAATTCTTCGATGATTTCTTTCCCAACTAATCGTATTAATCGGATGTCCAGAAACACTGCAATTAAATAGGGCTGACTTTCCCACGTCTACTGATTGCCGATTTGGTAACAGTTGTATTGATAGCGGAACTGTTGAATCCATGAAAATTAAATGAGAGGAAAATAAAAATAAATTCAATTCATTAGTAAATATATAATATATAGACTCATATATTATATCTAATCATAAAATAAATAATTATGAATTAAATTTTTCTTTTAAAAAATTTATTTAATAACATCAAATGATTTATTGGTTTATTATTAAATGATATAAAGCAATAAACTTGAGTTTCATTACTTTTATTTATTAATGATTTTCAATTTGCCAACAATAATAATTACATATATCCATCATACTGTATATACTATAAAAGATTATATAAAATATAATATATAAACATTGTAAAATAATTTTAAGACTATAAAGAATAATATAACTTTAATTTTAGTTTAAATCAAATTTATGTTATAATATATATATAAAATATACTATAATATTATTATTAATGTATTATTATACAAAAAACAAAAAAATTTTAGATATCAAATATAAATTTGTAGATTTAAACTTAAAAATCAATAAATTCTAAACTATTAAATATAAATCAATAATTTTTTAATAGTTTTTATTTTATAAAGACTGTATCTCATATACAGTTTTATATTAGACATTTATAGTCAAAACTAAACCCCATTAAACAATAGATAAATGTGATTTCAAATATAATATGTCAGTATTTTACTGTAAACTAACAGTTTGTAAAAACAAACATCAATTTTAATAGAAGAAAATAAATAAAATCTACAAAAATTTATTTATTGAGATTATAGATAAGCTTTTGGTTGTTAATCAGTTTTTATATCTAAACAAAATAAAACAAGAAAAACCTAAAACACAATTGATATAATGTGATAAAGTATTTTGTTAGACATTTTTTTAAATTAATGTCTAAATATGATGATAATGATAAAAAAAAGTTAAATTTGTGTGATATTTAATAAAATTACTATTTTAAGAAAACTAATCAAATGATAATAAAACAATAGAAATGTACAAAAATAAACAAAATGAAAATTGTATAACAATTGTACAACAAATAGCTTTGTATAGATTATGCAAAGCTAAAAGAGATGACAAAAACTAATATCTATCAGTAATTTCACTAACATTTTTAAAGGACATGTTTTGCATACTTAGACATCTCCTAATGTGATACTTCATCGACAAATGATATAATCAAATCTTTGAGATATATATAAAAAAGGGAATAATACAGATAGATAAATAGATAGATAGATAGAGTGAATGAGAGAGAGAGAGAGAGAGAGAGAGAGAGAGAGAGAGAGAGAGAGAGAGAGAGAGAGAGAGAGAGAGAGAGAGAGAGAGAGAGAGAGAGAGAGAGAGAGAGAGAGAGAGAGTTAAATGTAAAGTCAAAAGCAAATGAATGTTTGCATCACAATGTGTTTGGTTTTTGTTTCTATTCCCTCTATAGATGCCTCAAATTTCTAACATTATATCCAAAAGTCTTAAATATATTTATTTCTATCTCTATCTTTCGGTATTTATAACTTATTTTTCATTCAATGCTTTATATTATACATTACTTTGTGTTTGTATTATACTATACTATAATATTGTTGTAATGTATTCAACGCAAGAGTTGGACCATAAAACTAAAATAGCAATAAAAGAGCCAAAAAATATACGACATTATACATCATATCTAATTCATATTCACTATTTATACGTTATAAATATAATGACAAAGTTATACACAATATACACTATATATATGGCATATATGATAATATAAATGTAAAAATGCTGCGAGAATTGGGATCTGAATACCATTGGAAACAAAATTATATGTCATTCAAATCACTATTATTTCCTTATTTTTTGTCATATATATAATATAAAGACTATTGAATTAATTCTCTACACTTTTCGCTTTCTCTCTTAACATGTTTTTTGTTACAAAAAAGAAAAGAAAAAATCAATAGATAAACATTTAAAAATAATCGATAACTTTGTATGACTACTGTTCCCCAGTACAGTACAATACAGTGGCTTATTATAAACTATGGTCACATTATATACGGTATATTGTAGTTGTTTTGATTTTTAACAACATTATAAATGTTGAAATATAAGAAAAAAAGTTTAATATTAATTATTTCCAGTGTTTACGTGACATATTGTAATAAAAAAATAGTAGAAGAAATCATGTATTGAAAAAACACAAACCCTTAGTATTTAAATATACAATTTGTTGTATAATACAAACAACTATAATATTATTATTGGCCAGACTTTGATTGATATAACAAATTGTTAATGTGTTTTGACAACCAAATAAAAAAGATTATATACTGTATTTTCATTACAAATAAAATTGTTTGGTTTCTATATTTATATAACATTATTTATTTCAATATATTAGTATTTGTAATATTATAATGACTTACTCATTAATATTTTTACAAAATAAATATTTATTTATGTTAATACAGTAATAAAATTTATTATAAAGTCTATTGTATAATATAAGACACCTTATTTATACTAATAAGAGTATAATTATTTAAATGTTAGTCTACTAATAAAAATAAATAGTTAAAACTTGATATTTTTAAATATTAAACAAAATAGTTATGACTTTTTTTTGAAAATTTTAAAACTTATTCATTATTTATATCCTATTTATCTGAGTTTATTTTTTGTGTCCAAAGATTTTTGTATAAAAATTTCTAAGAGAGAGAGAGAGAGAGAGAGAGAGAGAGAGAGAGAAAGAAAGAAAGAGAGGAGAGTCCACCGATTTTTCATAAAAGTGATATTTTGCTACATTAACCTCCAGTTTCAACAACACTGTCATATATAGTATATTATATACAGTATATCTATTCATACAAAATAATAAACTGTATATCCATAGAGTCAGTGAAGACAAATTGGTGATACAGTTGTCGTCAAAAATATAAAAATATTTTTCATAACTATTTAATATATTTAATGCTTCTTGTATTCATACAGTGTGTAAACAAAAAATATTTTTAGTTGACGATCATATATTATACATAAAAAGACTATACTATATATGTCTTTTTCACTTTAATTAGTGAATCAAATACTTTATATAAACCCAAAACTACTACTACTACTAAATAAATTGAATGACAGTTGCAAAAGAGAAACTTTTGCTTTAATTATAAATACACAGAAAATCTTTAAATATCAATGAGAGAGAGAGAGAGAGAGAGAGAGAGAGAGAGAGAGAGAGAGAGAGAGAGAGAGAGAGAGAGAGAGAGAGAGAGAGAGAGAGAGAGAGAGAGAGAGAGAGAGAGAGAGAGAGAGAGAGAGAGAGAGAGAGAGAGAGAGAGAGAGAGAGAGAGAGAGAGTATAAGATTTTCATATGAAGTGAGCCCTTAATGAGTGTTAGTTAAGAAAAGGCTGTTTTCCGACAAGTATTGTATTTCATATAAAAAGCTGGAAAAAAATTCTAAAAGAAATAAAAAAGTTTTTATTTTGATTTCTACAAACTCTATATGTATTATATAATATATATATATATAAATATATGAATAGTTTTTTTTTCATCATTCAACGCACGAATGCCTTATGTTTTGTGTGTTTTATATATGTTTTTATATTCAACACTGAATTAGTGGATATTTCTTTTGAGATTTCCTATTGATAAGCATTTTGTGATGTTTTTATGTGTGTCTGCAATAACTCTGATTTTTTTCTCTGTGTGTGTAATTTTTCTCTATAGATTTGGGGGTTACACTACACTATATATATATATATATTATTGTTTTGCGCAATATATAAATTGTTTATAAAATATTGTGTGTGTGTGTGTGTGTGTGTGTGTGTGTGTGTGTGTGTGTGTGTGTGTGTGTGTGTGTTGTCAAGGGATTGTCAAAAATTGTGGAATTTTTTTCCAAAGATATAAATTTCTCAAAAACATAAGTTTAATGTGATTTGAAAGCAAATTAAAGTGCCATAAATGTGCTCCTAATGAGTGAATTAGTGTAACCGTGTTTCACATGTAATACAGGAAAAATGTAGTATTCATGACATCGATTAAAATAACAATTGAATCGTGAATTCAATAAAAAATTTCTATATATATACCGGTATATACTGTATATATTTCTATATGAATTCCCCATATATTCCGGTTACTAACTCTACAATATACCGTATAGTATATATTATAAACCATACTATATATATCACTCACTTTTCCTTCAGATATATTGTAAATTATAATATAATGAAAATGCAGGAAAAATAGTCACTAAAAAATTGCTACAAAATTTGTTATCAGTTTATCAGCTTTTTTATATGTGTGTAAAACTCAAATAATAAACTTTTCAAAAGCCAAACGAATTACTTATCGCCATCAAGTGCTCCGACAATGAGAGCACCGTTAGTGTACAGTACTGTAGAGTCAGTCACACAACATATGATCCCCACAATAAACTAGACTAATATGTATGAGCTCTGAATTATGTCTGTCTAATAAAAAATTTTTGCAATGCAAATGAAAATCAAGAGAGCACTCGACATTTGAGTAGAAAGGAACGGGAGATTGAGTGGGAAATACACAAATAATAAACGACACACACTATCGGTTGATAAGGACAGGAGAGAGAGAGAGAGAGAGAGAGAGAGAGAGAGAGAAAGTAACTCTGTTTTCACTAAACCTGATGTCAGCTCTAAAATAGTCCAACAAATCTGCACTCTTTGACTGTCATTCAAGTGAATTGCATTTAATACAGTCATTGTGTTTGTGTGGCTGTATATCAGTGCCATTCAAATGACTGAATGACTGCACCCCTTGTTTGCATACATAATATGTAAGATCTGTCTCTCCGTTTCTGGTCTATTGTTAGCTAACTTTCCAATCACTCTCTCCCTATCCCTCTCCGAGTGCCAGAAGTGTATCTACTGAAACAAGTTTTCAAGGGGTCATTCAAATGAATACCGACAGCACAGCACCGGTCGATATTCTCAGTGCACATCATATCACACATACTTCAACATACATATACTGTATATATCATCTCATTGTACAGTATATACGGTACAAGTTATGGCACAGAATTTACAGCAAAAGTTTGTTATGATTTTCACTCATAAAGAGAGAGAGAGAGAGAGAGAGAGAGAGAAAGAGAGAGAGAGACTCTTTTCAATAAACTTATGAATTATGGATTTCATGGATAAAATTGATTCAAAATATGGTTTAGAAATATTTGTGAATATTATATATAAAATAATATATTCCGAAACGTTTTATATAACACTTCTCTCTCTCTCTTTCTCTCAAATAATGTCATGTATTTTGACCACAAAATCAAGTATTCAGCGCTTGATATTTCTAAATATTATATTATAGTATTATTATTATCACAATTTGAAACGCTATATAAAAGTACCACAAACTTAATACTTTGGTGAATGGCTTGTAATAAATTGAGAGGAAAACAATTGTTTATTGAGAGCCCATATTTGCACTAAAAATCTATAATAAGGCAGTAATTTTGGGATTTCAATGCTCACACATCAACACAAAATTTATATTATTTTTCGTATATACTATATATACAATATATAAATTTATATTACTAACTATACTACTGATAATATAAGACACCATAGATTTTGTGTAAACGGTTTTTGGCTTAAATTTATCGCAACGAATCCGATATTTAATTTCGACAAAAAGCTTAGCATTTTGTTGCACTCAAAATCTTTTATAGTTGTCATCAAATTGAAGTAACAAAAAAAATAATGATAAAAATCTCTAGGATTTCTCTTTAAGCAATTGAATGTATAAAATATAGGCAATCGTTACGACAATTCAATTGCTATTACCATTGCTTTTCTCATTTCCAATCAGTCACTCACTCACTGCTAGAGTTGCTGTGAAACACACAGTTTAATAGCAAATGTTTTCTCTCTCAATGTTAAAACTCGATAGTGTATTATACAGTATTATAGACTATTTGTGAAATAATTTTTAGGATATTTTTTTGAAAAAGGTAACGTCAGTTATATAAAGCTTTTCCACTAATGTAATACAATGTAAGAAATATATATACAGTATATATATACTCTTTTATACAATATATTGCATACAAAAATGCAAAATAATTTTTTTTGCTCAATAATTTAATAGTTTATTTTATTTCAAAAAAAATATATATAAAATAAATTCAATTGAAAATTTATTGAGATATTTTGTTGCACTGGTTGTTAATAGCAAAAAAAACTTTTTGCTTAAGTAATAAAAAATAAAAAGATTTTTTTTTGCATTTAATTCATTGCTAAAAAACATGGTTTCGGTCGCCAACATAGCAATGACTTAATCTAATGTATAGCCAAAGTAGTAGTGAAAATAAAATAAAAATTTATCTCTCATACTGTGAATGTCTGACAAATATAACTCAATGAAACCGATTTTATAATTTTATTTTATTTATTTTTTTTGGTGTAAATTATTATGTAATGTATTTGTCATTCATTTGAAACTTCATAGTATGTGTGTGTGTCTGTTGACCTCATCCGCCGCCAGTGAATAGCAATTGAGTGAGTGAGTGGGTGAGTAAAAAATAAGAAAATAATAAATATATGGCATCTTATTCAGAAAATGGTTGTTCACTACTAGTGACAGACAATTTCAATAAATTGCATATTTAATGCATAGAGAGAGAGAGAGAGAGAGAGAGAGAGAGAGAGAGAGAGAGAGAGATCTAACATATAACCGAAAAAATGTAATCTCATTTAAAAATTGATGTATGAATTAATAAATTATATAACAGTTTTTTTCCTGAATGAATGATAATATAATATAAAAAATTTATGTAATGAATGAAAGAAAAAAAATGTGTGTTAATCCATCAACACATTCATACGAATCACTTTATACTAACCCACCAAAAAAAAGAGGTCCCAAAAATATTGTTGTCATTCAAAAAACCGTGAGGGAAACCACACAATAAAAAAAATTAAACTCAACAACAAAAAATTGACGACAAAAGTGTGCGCCAGAGGGGAGACATAGTTGAGAGAGAGAGAGAGAGAGAGAGAGAGAGAGAGAGATAATAAAAAAAGTTAGCGATAAAGAGTTGTTTGACATTAGTAACAAATTAGTAAAGTTATGTTTTGGGGGGTGGGGTGGGGAATGTAAAGGATATCAATTTTTCGACACACAAAAGGACAGACAAATTTTATATAATGATATATATAAAATATTTTATGGATGACCCCTAAACACTAAAAATTAATATATCATTTGAGTTATTAAATAATAACATTTTTCAAATTAATTTTAGTCTAATATATTAATTTATATGTATTTATATAAATAATAATTAATTGTAGATAAAAAAAACAACACATACTTCTGACAGATAGCTCGGTCTCGACTTTTTCCTCAGCAATCGTATTGTTAACAATACACTGATAGACACCCGAATCGGTGGGCGAAACGTCTCGGATGACCAAAATGCCGTCCAATTGATCGATACGGTCGTTGGCCGACAATGACTGGCGTTCGGCGCCGTCCTTTTTGAACCACTTGTATTTCGGTAGTGGCCATCCCTGTGCCAGACAGGGCAGTGCCACTGTATCTCCTTTGACGGCATTCACCTGATACTTGGATTCTGTAATTCTTGGACTAACAAATGAATGCGATTCTGTAAATAAAAAAAATAATCATTTTAATTGTAAAGTATATAATAAATACTATTTTTTTAAATAAATATTATTTAAATATTCTATTATATATTTTTCTTAGGTTTTCGTATAAGTTTGATATTTAAATTAATTTATATTTGTTAAACAATTCTTATATATTTTTAAAAATAAATATGTATATAAAAACAACTAAACGATTATGTTCAGACTATTAATTTCAAAATAAATAGTATAATATATATATATAAATTTATATATAGAAAATATTTTAATATAATTTGCGTTTATTATGTGTTAGTTTGTTTCATGAGATTAATTGTATTTGACTTAACGCTTATAATGTGTCAAATAAACACTATTCGCATAAAAACAATGTGTGTTTCATTTGACAGCTAAAAATGTGGTCATAAATAATGGGTAAACATATGTAAGTAACAGTGGTTTATATTTTTAATAGAGTTTCAATTTTCTTATTTCTCATATTATAGTAAATAACAGTATATTAAAAAATTATTGAAATAGCAATACTTTAATTACTATAATATTTTCTTAATTAATTAAATAAATAACATAATTATTTAAAAACAAATAATACATTAAAGTGCATTACATAAAAAACAGTAAGTTATTTAATAATTTTGTTAATTTATGTAAAGATATTTATACTAATATAAACTAATGTTTGTCTAGAATATTGTTTTTCATTAATTCTTATATTGATATTAACCAGAATTACGACAGAGTTTTCACTAATAGAATATAAAACAAACAAAAAACAATTTTTTCAGTTATTAATCATAAATTATATTTAGAAATAATCATTATATGAATTACAGAACATAGTTATAGATGAGGGGAGAGAAAGAGAGAGAGAGAGAGAGAGAGAGAGAGAGAGAGAGAGAAAATAATTATAGCAATTTTGACTACAAATGGTTAGTTGAATGCCATTTACAGCCAGCAAATTGTCAGTGAATTACATGAAGTACTGATCAAAACCATTGATAAGTCTGCACCAGATTTTCTGTAGATTTCAGATAAAAGAAAGATTTCTCTGACTATTTGTGGTGTGTCTGTGATGTTAGATGAGTGTCTGTGCATTAAGCTATCGGTGCTCACACATACACAGTGTGCTTTACACACACACACACACACATACACCATATATATACAAATAAAAAAATAATAAAAAGCCCACAGTTTTTCATATAGTAGTTATATACGATATATATATATATATAAGTATAATATATATTAAACGTCTTGATATGCCATTTCTGTGGGCTTCTGGTGTTTGTGAGCACTACTTGTGATTGTGATAGAGAGCGACTGAATGCCACTTCAATTACTAAATGTTTAAATCACTTCAGATATAAGCCCTCACAGATCGGAACTGGTATTATAGTCGGCATCTCATCTCATCTATACTATCGCATTGACGCTTACAGACAGTCTGATACAGACATTATATGTGCTTTCATAATATTAAATTAAATTATACTACAATAATATAATATATTATAGTTTTATACAGTATATTATTTTTTATATTTATTTCTTCATATAATTCCTTATACACATTACTTAGTTTAAACTTTTGAAGTGAAAAAAACGTTATCTCTATTAACAGCACAAAAATATCTATAATATAACTTAAATTTTGTAAGCAATTTATGACAAAAACACACATACAATGTATATTATGTTATATAATATTATCTTAGAATAGGTTTCATCTCAACAAACACTAATGGATTGATAAAGTGATAGATAGATAGATAGAGAGATATTTATATACATTTCGTTTTTTACTAGTAATTGAACTTACAATACAAGTGCGATTAAATTGTAAAATAAATTTTTAAAATATTATTATTTTTGTAAAATAATATTTCATTTGGTGTGTATGTATGTATGTGTGTGTATGTATGTGTATGTATGTGTATGTATGTATGTGTGTGTGTGTGTATGTGTGTGTCTGAGTATGTATGTATGTGCTAATGAATTATTAATTCAAGAAATAATGTTTTCCTCTACTATTTTAAAGTGTATTTTTAGTAAAAATTGTTATATAAGATCTCTCATAAATTATCGCTAATGTTTAAATAAAAACAAAATTATTTATTGTAAATGACTTGAAGTTGTAAACTAAAAACAATAGTATAAATAATAACGTTATATAATTCATATTTATTTATTTTTTTAAATGTGTATATTTTTGTTTTGAAAAATATATGCCATTTACTGTATGTGTTTGTGTTATATTTGACTTATTTTATAAATTATATGAAACAAGAAGTGTTGCAAAACATGTAATGAATTTTTGATTTAATGTTTGTTCACTTAAACACACAATAAATATATCTATGTTTTGCTATTTTTAACATAATAAACAAAATAAAAGTTAAATACTATAATATAAAAAAAAGTTTGAGTCGCAAATATATGATAAGTTAATCGCATAAAACATTTATATATAAAGTTAATATAATATAATATATCTAAACATTTAGAGAGAAAGAGAGAGAGAGAGAGAGACTCTTTTTGATGGCATATTTTGAGCGTTAAATGAAATGCACAGCAAAATAGTGGAAACAATTTAATAAAAGACAACACAAAGCAAAATGAGAAAATAAAATCATATTTTTGATATATAATAATGTAATTTTGTAACAAAAATCAAATATAATAGCAACAAAAAAAAGTGGCACAACTTTTAGTAATGGTTATGAGTTGGGAAAGTTATGATATATATATATATAAGTTATATTAAATAATATATAAATGTAATATATTGTATATAAATGATTGTCATACCCGTCACAATTAACTTTCCCGCCGATCCACTGGTAAACGTTTCGCCAGTAAGTCGATTACGTGCCCGACATTTATATGTCCGGTGATTGAAAGTCGAGTCAACATTTCTAATATACAGTTCCCCAGTTTGTAGCATCAAATATCTGGAAGACTGGTTGCCAATGATTGTGCCCGTCGGCTGAATCACTCGGCCGGTTGGTTCCTCTATCCAGGCCGTCACCGTCAGGTAGTCTCTTACAAATGCCGGTATATGGCACCGCATGACTGCTGTATTGCCCATCACTGGGAACTCATCATAGACTTCAATCACAAAATTTTGGCGAACAACTGAACCGGAAAGACAGTTAGAGAAAGAGAGAGATAAATAATTAGAAAAATATAAGTGAAATATATAAATAATTTAATATTTTATATACAATTTTGATTTACAACACACACACACACACACTGTTGGCAAGCAATCATATTGAATGCAATAATGCATTAATTAATAAATAGCTTATATCTAGTAATATGACATAAGTGTGCGATTCATACATGAAATAATCATTTAGTAAATGTCTCTCAAATGTATTATTAATGGAAATACAAATAAAATTATATAAATTATATTTAATAATAATTATGAAAAAATCGTGAAAATTACTATTTGCTTATCATAAGTTTAATACTGTACACATTTTGTTAATTTATTTATTAATAAAAATACACCAAAATATGCGGTATATATATACTTATAATAATTAAAAATTGTTTTTAAAAATATGTAAAACATATGAATATTTTTTAATTTTGCTAATTATGCATCATCTGTATTTTACATTTACAAATACATTAATTTAGAAAAATTTTTGACTAAAATATATGATTTGTTTTGTTTTCAAAAAATACTTTTTTCAAAAGCAATTTTATTGCAAAAATCTCTTTCTAAAATCTTAATTTTTTAATTTTAAAAAATATAAATTACATAATGTATCTTATGATTTATATATATATATATATATATACGGACAACATTGGTGACCCCATAATTTTTATATTTTGTAGGACGACTACACTAACTATTGAAATTGAAAGACAAGTAATAAATCCCAGAGTTTATTGAATTATTCAATGAGAAGACAGTAATATATATATATATATAAGAAAAATGTTTTGAATCTGTAAATGCAATGATATATATAGATATATATTTTTGACAAATTCTTCTCAAAAATAATAAATTGATGAAATATTACGGTATGTTTCCACGGATACTACAGTTTACAACATCAACAACAGTATTGGGAATATATATATATATATATATATATACACTTTGGGTACTAAAAATGCTATTTTAACAGTATTTTTGTACATAATTTTTAATTATTATTTTACAACACTAATACAAAAGTGAGATTAAAATTAATATTTGAAAATTTTTGCTCAATTAGTTAAAAAATGTGAAATTCAATACATAATAACTTAAAGTAATACTATGGAAAATTATAATTAAATTACTTTTTTTCTAACTTATAAATATACATACAATAGTTTAATATAATAGATAACGAGAATATTATTAATATCATTATATATTTTTATTCTTTAATAAAGAGTGAAAAATTTTTGCTAAATAATTGAAACAAATGAAAAATTCCTTATATTTTAACACCAATTATGATGACTATGTCTAATAAATTTATATATTGTAATAATTTAATCAATATTAATGTTTAGGAGAGTCTGTATGTTGCATATGAGTCGCTAAATAAATACTAATTGAATTAATTTAAAGCTTTTGTGAACAACATTTGCACAAATATCATATTATATGCATATATACTCTATATATAATTTATACATATATAATATAGTATTTTGCTATTAAATATATATCTAGACATACAATATATATATAATATAAGCCAACGAGTCTTTCCTATCATTATCAGTACTAGTTTTTAACAAACAAATAAGTAATAAATTTTTCATTATCTCCAACACAGCCATCGTTTGACTCATTTAATGCTCAACTGATGCAAAATAGACCAGTAGTTAGTGAGTTGTAATAATAAAATGAATGTTAGTTAGCAAATAGTTGTGTGTATATAATGTGTGTGTGTGTGTGTGTGTGTGTGTGTGTGTGTGTGTGTGTGTGTTTGAAACTGATGGAGAGATACAATGTTAGTGATGACAGTTCAAAGTCTATTCAATAGTATAATTGCAAATTTATTTTTGCAGTCAAGTAATTAATAAATAGAAATTTGTTCAAAAAATATATAATGTATATAATATATTATACATTTATAAAGAATTATTGGGTGCGGACTCAATAAATGTGTGTAAAACTAATTTTGTTTAAATAAAAGCTCAATTTTGTAGACTTGATGTTAGTTAGACATGTTAGCAGACATAAAGAGGAACTGGATGTTGAACGTTATAATGGCAACCATTATATAAAAGGGTACTACACAGCACTCAATGGTCATATATATCGTTATATATATATATATATATATATGAATGTGTTGGATATGCTGTTTGTTTGAAAGGACTGGTTATATAATAATAAAGTTTATTTCCATTTCATTTATTACTTTAGAGACAAAAAGAGATTGGACTCAGAAAATGGTTTTCAAAACTACATTAAGTAAAGGATATGAAAAGCCATAGAAAAGTTTTATAAAAGTTTTCATTAAATGCAATACAAATACACAAAAGAGTATAATAGGAAAACAGTTTTTCGGCGAAACAACTAAATAATATATATATATAACTTAAAAATAAATTTTATTTCACAGAATTAAAACATTATATAAACATTACATTACGACGACTTAGTTCAATAAAAATTTATCACACAATTATATAGACATTTTGTTTTTAAGTGACAAAACTTTTTAATTAGTACTTAAATGAAAAATATTTAGCTATAAGTTTTATATAACAATCTTTACTGAAATGTTTAGACAAATGACTACAAGATAGTTGTCATTAATTTTCAAACATTACTTTAAAGACATTTGAATTTTTACAAAGTTTTTATATCTACTTTTATACTACTGTGTATACTAACCGATAATAATAAAAACAACCAATAATAGGAAATTTAATTAATATAAATTACTAACTTTCGTCTTTAATTACTTTACTTTATATAAATACAGTAATTACAACATATGTAGATAATGTCATATAATAACGTACCTATAATATCATACCCTATAAGTACAGTATTATAGAAATTAGAAATAATTAGAAATAAAAAATAAAAATTTTTAATTTGATTATTAAAACTTGAAGCATAAATTTTTTTGTATTAATAAAAATACTATAAATTATGTTTTAATAAAATTAAAATCTTTATTAATTCTGTTTATAATTTAATTAATACTGTATGTCAAATTGATAATATATTTATATTAATATTAATATTTACTATAAATGAACATTAAAAGTGACAGATTTTTCTGATATATATTAAACAAATTAATTGCAGTATATATATATAAATTATAAAAAAATACATCATTATTTTGAGATAAATAATATTATAAATAGTAGTAGTGGTAGTACAATAGACACTGATAAATATAAAAACAAACTATTATTTACTTAATCTTAATAAATTTCATTCAATTAATCAATTTGTGTGTATTTTTTATACTATAAAATTGAAATACTGTTATATAAATTGATAATATTAAACACTTTATTGATTGTTACGTATAATCTCTCTCTCTCTCTCTCTCTCTCTCTCTCTCTCTCTAACAAACTATATATATACAAGATATATATAAAATATCTACTGGTAGAAGTTAATAACAAATAGAAATATATTATATATATTGATATAATTGATATCAAACAAAATATCCACAGATGTACTCCTCTATTGTATAGTTTTTTAATATGTATCGGACAACTATGTGATGGTATTGACGTAAATCTGAAAAATATCATTAATCAATTCAATAGCTTTATACTGTATATTTAAAATTCAAACTAATGGTAAAAGTTATATGAATCACTGTAAATATGTACTGTATATAAATATATATTTACATGTATATATATATATATAGTATTTATCCTTATTTTAAAATATTTAGTTTTTATGAATATTTATATATAAATATAAAAAACTAAAGTTAATAACTGTCTAAAACATGAATCCAATGATCCGATCAATTGATAGATAAAAAAAATAATAATACAACTAAAGTGGTTATCCAAATGTGTTGTGTATGTGTATATAAAAAACTTTGTGTATGTGTTGTATGTGTTTGGCAATGAATTAAATGAGATGTACTCTAATTGAAATAAAACACAATAAATATTTTAGTCACACGTTTTAAAAGCATTTGATTATGAGTGCATATGACGTGCAAATGATCATCATATTAGTGAAAGAATAAGAGAGAGAAAAAGTGAAACTAATATTTAATTTAAAGTGCATTTTGTTATTCAATATAATGACATAGAATTAAGAGAGAGAGAGAGAGAGAGAGAGAGAGAGAGAGAGAGAGAGAGAGAGAGAGAGAGAGAGAGAGAGAGAGAGAGAGAGAGAGCTTTTTAGTGTTTAAAAGCGGAACTTAATTCCAAGTCGTTAAGTAAAGTCACTGAAAATCCTCACCAAACAGTATGTATGTGTTTGGGAGTAATAGTGTAGCACTTGGAGCTCAAAACTGCAGCAGACAATGTGTGTGTGTGTTATATAATAGATGCATTGATTTTTGTGTATGTATTTTAATGTATGCACCGTTGGTTCAAATTAGGAGTTGTGTTCACATATATATACACACAAAAAAATTATGAAAGAAAGCGAGCGATTGTGTGACACAAACTATACGACCAATACTTTGCATACATAGAGAGTATAAATTTTGTGCAAATATTAAATGTTTTATATATATATGTTTTAAGTCTTAGTAGTTGTGTCGGTGCTGTTGGCTTATGATGTAAGTCACAGAGTCTTTTGTAGCCATTTGCCGATAATATGCCAATCAATTATCACAAACAAATTAGTAATGCAATTCAACAAATATACTAAACAGATCTCATATTATTGGACAGTTAGTTTGGCACTGTTAGCATTGGGATAATAATGACAACTAAAAATTTAATTTAAATGAATACATACTATAAATAAACTAATCTCTCTTTCTTTCTCTTGTTTTTCAAAGCAATTGATTTATATAAATCTATTATTAAAGAAATTGATATAAAATTCCGTTTTTGAATTTAATTTTTTTCTCTCTCTCTCTCTCTCTCTCTATGAGTCGACAATACATTCATACTATGATATAATCATAAGACAAACACTGAAATGTATTCATGCG